TCAAAGAGATGGATTTAATATTATAATTCATGGTTGTATTTTAACAGTTTTTAAAAAATAAAATGAAATTAAATTGATTGAATTTTGAAATTATAATAACATATTTAAAATTTTAAATACTAATAATTATTTCATTGTAATTTATAATATGTAAATATTTTAGGAAGTTGGTTCTTTCCTATTGAGAGTCATTATGTGTACTAAAAAAATCTCTATTATTTTGTTGTTATGTATATTATTTTCATTAAAAGAATTTTGACCACATAATTAATATATTTGTTTATCTAATCACACTATTTTAAATCAGGTTTATTTTTTATTCATTGTTGTATAAAATGATAAATATATTTTCGTCCACTATAAAAAAATTCTGTCTCTGTCACTAATCCATAGTCCAATCTATCAAACTAGACACAACCTGTCAACTTGCTAACATATGAGCTACTAAATTCACTATTTTTTTGGCAAAATTAAAAGATAAAAGAGTTTTAAAATCAGCACTCATCACACCAAAATAAAATTGATAATTTTTATCACATTCCAATGCAAATATTGAACTTATCGTTTCATGTGATACTAACTTTTTTTTTTTTTAAACGATCAGTATGTATTACTCTAATCTATTGTAGAATGTGAAATAAATATAATATTAGCACAATAAAAAATTTTATAATGATTGAGAAAATTTGTCTGATTTTAACTTCACATCCTCCATGCTTAGTACAAGGATTATATAATTTTTAATCCCATCCCAATATATTAAAACACAAAAAATGTGATATAGGCTTGTGTGAGCATATATGTATTCTCATCTCATCCTAACTCAGAATTCATCAATAGAAACTTGAGTAAAAAAAATTAAAAATAAGACCAATTGATTTCAATTATAAGTAAAAAAATAAAATAAAAGCTTGTCAATTGATATAAAATAAAATAAAATAAGACCAATTGATTTCAATTATTAGTCCATTATTAAACTCATAATTTTTTTTTTGATAATATTATTAAACTCATAATAAAAGCTTATCAGTTGTTACTTTATTCATCAAGTATAATAAAATAAAACAATTCTAATATTTAGCAAACAAGTCAGGATTATCTAATTCTTGAGATGGGATGAGACAAGATAAAATTTATGATCAATACAATTAGGTTTTGATGACTCTAAAGATATAATATTCTCAGAAATGTGGAGATAATAGAAAAGGCTTTGATCTTATATACAGGATAAAGGATAAAGTTAATTACATGCGTGATTGAGAGAGAGAGAGATATGAGGAGCATTATTTCCTAATATCGAGCCTATATCTTCTATTTGATGTTTAGTCCTTCGACGGTACTTTATTCCGCTATTACCAAGCAGAATAGTTGTCTATAGGTTTTGGGTAATAGTGGAATATAGCACAGCCGAAGGACTGAATATTATCTACGGGTTCTAGCTCAGTGGATAATGCAAACTGGACATGTGAAAATAATTATTGTGTTTATTTCCTACTGAAGGCACATGCAAAGAAAGGCGAAAAGCCTTAATTGTAACTAAACTCCAAATTGAATTAGGCAGCTTTTGGTAATGAGATTTGGATACCAATAGTTTATATATATATCTCTGTCTTAAAATTATCTTCCGGATATATTTGGAACCGAATTATTAAATTCATATCAAATATTTTATCTTTTAGATGATAAATTTGCAACGATGTTTAGAAATGGATTGGGATTACAAAAGCCCACGAACTCTCTAATTTTTTGGTGGTTGCCAGTCGTAGTGGCAAATGTTCCTTCTTAGACTATTCTTAGGGGATTTTAAAGAACATAATCGTTCTAAATCATAGATTTTTTTGTGATCTAAAATAACTTTAGTTTAGAGGAAAAGTGCCAAACGAGCTAGAAATAGCAATTTGCTGCTTTAATCATTATACTCCCTGGTTCCATTTTTATGTGCTCATCAGAATTTTGAGACCATATTAATTACATTTTTTGTTCCATTTTGTTTGCATAATTTGACAAAACATGCATATTAAGAACTTAGTCAACAAAAGCTATTTTATCCTTTTTTATCCTTAACTCATTGAAGATATTACTAAAAGTCTCTTATTTAATAAAGGACCATAAAGGTCATAATATTATAATACATATTAATATGATAATCAACATCAAAATTATGATAATTTTTAATTAAAAAATAGGTTATAATGTTATAATAATTTTAATTATTTAATACATAACAATCAAATTATGATAATTTTTTAAATTATGATAATTTTTAATTAAAAAATAGGTTATAATGTTATAATAATTTTAATTATTTAATACATAGCAATATGATAATTGAATAATAATTAAGATAATATCATGTAATTTTAATTGATAAAGATAGGTTACAATATTATAATAATTATAATTATTTACTAATATATATTAATTATGATAATTAATATTAATATTTATATAATACTACAACTAATAATTAAATTCTATACAACAGTATTAAAATTTAAGAGTCCTATGTAACATTATAATCCATATAATTCTATGTGTCATCACCAATAATCTTATATGGCAAGAGTAAGGGAGAAATACAATTTAGACATTCTACCATGTATTTTTATAATATCAATGATTTTCAATCATTTTCTTAATCTTTGTGAAAAGAGCAAATATTGCTACTAAAGTCAAACGAAGAAAGTATTAAACTAGGTGGTCTCCTGTACTTCACATGGTTATATAATATTTCTTTTTTTAAGCGATATATATATGTACATATAAATATAAAGTAAATTGTTAAAAAATTGAGGTGCATACGATGCACGTACAATATGATTTAAATGTATGACGTGAAATTAAAATTTTTTATTTTAATTAAAGTGAAACATCACTCTTAAAATAGGATGTGAAGTGAAATAAAAAGACAAAAAAGTCAAATCATAAGACAACATTAAGAGTTATTTAAATGTCATAAATAAGAGAATAATTTTTAAGGAGCCATTACGTGTAAAATCCGTAAAAGTCAGAAATTACAAAGAGGTAAAGGAGATTTTTCTCTCAAAAATTTTTAATTTTTCCTAGTTACCAAGTACTCAAATTTTAGAAAATTCTACTCTTCAAAGAGAGCGTTATGTCAGCATCAAACAAATCTCCACAATGGTCTCCCGTGTTTTGCACGGCTACATAGTGTTTTTTTTTTTTTTTTTGTACAATAGTGTTTTTTTTTTTTTTTTTATGTGTAAGATATAGATATCAAGTAAATTGCTAAAAAAATGAGGTGCATATACACAATTATGATTTAAATGTATCATGAAGAATTAAACTTTTTTATTCTAATTATAGCGAAACATCACTCTTAAAATAGGATGTGAAGGAAAATAAGAAAGTAAAAAAAATCAAACTACAAAAGAAGACATTGTATTTAAAAGTCATACATTAGAGAATATATTTTTTAAGTAAAATCCATAAAAATAATTAAATTAGAGAGAAATAAGGGAAACATATTTCTTCTATAAAATCTTCAAACTAGTGAGGTTAAAAATCAAATTTTCAATTTTTAAAAATTTTCACTCTCTAAAAAGAGTGTCACGTCAGCATCTATGATTCTCCTATATATATATTGTCACGACCCAATTCCATGGGCCGGACCGGCACTAGGGCCCAGGTAAACTTAAGGCCCCCGAGGCCCGTAGTAAGCCTGAAACACTACCGTAGTTAAGCTGAAAACTAAACTCAATATAATTTTAAACATTTAACCCATATTTATCAGTTACAATATTCCACAGATCGGGCCCAATTAACATTACATCACATTTTTAATATGGCTCACATAATTATATCATCTATGTTAATACCTGACTAATTATTCACAAATTCTACAACTGCGGAGTCACTAACTATTTGATATACATAGCTTTTTATACATATAGTTACATAACAAAATAATTCTGGAACTAGGAAAATTTCTCTACTGCCCTGTGCCGAAGAAATATAGCCTAAATCGAATTAAAGAAAAACTTACTTCCTGAAAAAAAAAAAAAATCAAACAAGACATGTGAGTTTTCTAAGGAGTAATAATTTTTGCACCACACACGCGGTCACACAAATGTGTAAACATATTAATCTAGTCGTCCGACTAGTTATATGCTCACGCAACCAGTCACACAAATGGGAAATCACCAGCACTCACAATCATTAACATTTTCATATAATCACATCATGTGGAAATTGATCTGTGGCATCACCGAAACCCCCGATGAGCCGTCCTCCCACATACCCATCCTCTCATATCGTGTGCACCAGGGAGCCAATCCCCCATACTGGCCGACCGGTCTAATCCTCACTTGACCAGCTTTCTCATTGTTTTTCCATTCTCTCTTTTCTTTTCCATACCAACAGGAGGCAACCCGGTCGTCTCCATCAAATCTAGATCATCAGGCGCTCACAACATGGATAGTTCAAATCAACTGCATAGAGCTTAGTCATTGTTCTGCAGAGAGAATTTGTAAATGAGTAGAGGTTCAAGTACAGACCTTTTGGTTTAAAACATTCCAGTGGAATTAATTGATTTGCTTCTTTGGAGAATGATCTGATTCTCCCAATTTAATTATAGGAATTCTGTTCATAGAATTGGTTCAATTTCGATAGAAATTAAAATGAATTTCAACAAAATTAACACATTTCCTGAACCATCAATAACGTAACTTCTCCTTGCTCTATCTTCTAATTAGTTTTTTATATCTAATCACCTTCTACCTATTATTCTATCTTCACATTCTCAATCCTCCATAAATGTTTAATATATTTTTTATTAACTTTTTAACATTTAATTTTAAGTTTATGCACTACCTAATGAAGCTATTTACATTGTTATATAAATTTCTAAGGCATGGTAAATTTATTTTATATTTATAGGTACCAATATTTTTCGATAGAATTAAAATTTATTATTTTTTAATTTTACAATTGAAGAAGAGTAGTTTAGAAAATGAGAATAAATTAATATCAATTATGAAATTCAATTGGATGAGCCCAGTTTAAATTGTATCGTTCAAGATGGATTCATTTGAAGTACATGTTTGCGTTATGGAATTGCGCCATGTCTCTTTTCGCTTACGCGGTATTTAAATTTAAAAACACCAAAAAGAGGTACTGGGCGCGGGCAAAGCGAAACAAAAGCATAAATCGAGTGCACTGAAACCCTAAGAAGAAAGAGAAAGAGGAAGAAAATGGGGCATCACAACCACCACCACCACCACCACCAAGCAGCGGACAGTTTAGTGAATCTATTGACAAAGGCAAACCACGATCTCACTCTAGTTCAGTTGAAGCTCGAGAAGGAGTTCCAGCAAGTCTATCCCGATAACGTAGTGATACTTTGTCTCTCTCTCTCTGTCTCTCTCTCTTTTTCTAAAAATTATACTCTCTTACTTTTCAATTTCTATTTCTGTGTCCTATTGCTGAAAATTTTGGAAAATTCGATTTTCAATTATCTTAAAATGTTTAATGAGGCTTATTTATTTATTTATTTTTTGAAAAAAGGCCAATCCTATGAAGCTGGTTAACCGGATAAAGAAGATACAAGGGGATATTACTGCCCTGAAAGAGCAGTGCCGCGAGCTTCTTGTTGCTAAACAGGTACTTTTTTTGCTTCTGTTTTGGAAGTGTAATTGAAGGCTTAGCATGTATATCAATGATGATGAGCAGTATTTATTGAATTTTGGAGTTTAAAGATGAGAAGAGAACCCAGTTAATAAACAGTTGATCAATTCTAAACTGAATGGGGATTATTGTTGTCTATAGTTCCAAGTGAGTGGAAATATTCTGTTTTATCAATAGTTTAAGTTTAGAGAGAGAGAGAGAGATAGAGAGAAATATTACAGATGGACTAGGTGACCCATTATAGCAAGAGTTGATTCAGGATAATTGTATTAGCTTAAGAGGAAGTGGCTTGAGAACATTTGGTTTGTTACGAGGTCTGGGTATATAAGATTTGGGCATAGTAATAGAACGAGATGCAATTTAATGGTGAACTACAAAAAGGTTTTATACAGTATGTTGATACTTGATACCCATAAGTCAAGTTATGACAAACTTAAGCATTAATTAACTTCTCAACTGCACATATCATGAACGAAATAAGACTCTTTGCTTTGAATTTACTCTTTTAACTTTCATGATTAGAGTTCTGCTTTTCCATGCCCATTGCTGGCTTTCTTAGTAAAATAATGTGTATATAGCTTCGACTTGAAATGGTACCTTTCACAGGGTAGCTGCTGCACATTTATGTATATATCTAGGGCATAAATAAAGAAGCAGCAGCAGAGCAGTTGTAACCTCTTTTTTTTTTTTGTTTGTGAGTGAGGCATAGAAGGGGACTCTCAGGGGAACTGGGTAGACTCTCAGGGGAAGGGGGGACTTTGCATACTCACTCATCAAAGAAGATGATGATAAAAGAAAAATCTAGAAAACACAGGCATTAATAGTGACATCAATTTTGTCCTTTTATTTGCAGGACTTGATTGATAAAGCTCAAACAACTCTCATTGGGAACAGAAGTTTACTACAGAAAATGCAAGCATCCATGGGCATTCCCATCACTAGTGCAGACGAGGACCCTGCATTTGCTAATCTCAACCAGGTATGTGTCTGATTGAACCAATCTTTTTAATATTGAAAAGTCCTTGTACATATGTCAAAGAGAAAAGGTTGAGCCAAATATAGAGAAATGGGGTTTATTACAATGTGAATGATTTGGAAATTAATACTATGTTTTGAAAGAATACCTTTCCATTAAAATGGAAATATGTTCAGACTACTTATTGTCGTCACATAAAAATGAGCTTTGTATGTTTTACATAGGATTTGAAGCTCTATATTTGACATCTAAAAAGCATTGGACTTGGTGCACTGAACTTTCTGTTAGTATCAGATGAGAATCAGGGGTTCATGACATTCCATGAGCTACAGTAACTAGAAAAATAACTTATGATCTCATTAATATTATGATAAACAACCCCAACGTGTCTTTTATGTGATGCCACACGCTCATCAATTTCAACACAAATCGTGTCTTCACAGTTTTACAGGAATTTGTGCTCTTTTATCTGAAATTTAGATCAACTGATGGAAGCCAAATAAAGTGCGGCAACAGTTAGCTTTTCGAATAGAAAATATCTTTTTATATTATTTTTGGTCTGGTATCTAGAAGGTTGTGTAATTTTCCAAATGGTGCCTAGTGTTTGCACCATTTGCCAGCAACCAACCAAAATTAGTTGAGGCTTTACACAGAGAAATACCCATCTGGAGATGTGTTGGGTAGTTATTCTTTGGTAACAATAAAGCCCGCAAATTTTTGCTTATTTAATTGTTGTCATTCTATACTAACCTATATAAACATAAGCATTTCTGGAACAATGTAATTACCGCTTTTATTTTCTGTTTGTTCAGATTATTGATGAGTGGACAGTTCAAGTTAGATCAAGAACAGGTAAGGATTTACAAATTTAATGGAATATCTTATTACTGCATCATTTGGAAGTGGGGGTAATTTATTAAGGCCAGACAACTTGGAGATGCTTTCTAGTTATTGATTATTGAAAATGAGAAATTTGCTAGTTTAAAAAAAAAAAAAAAAAAAAAAAAAAAGAAGAATTGAAAATTTGCCTAGTTTAAAAAAAAAAAAAAAAAAAAAAACTACCTACTCACCTATGATTAGATGTTCATCAAGATTTCATTTTGGGTATGGAACATCCATCAGGTCTTTCTGACAAGTGAAAACTGAACATCGAATCTAGCGATAATAGGTTCTTGCTACATCACAGTAGACTTCTTGAACACATAACACCGGAATCATTATAAGATCAACAATTCTGTTCATGAGTGCCCTTTATACAAAAAAAAAAAAAAAAAAAAAAAAAAACTACCTATATGATTAGATGTTCATACAAGATTTCCATTTTTGGTATGGAAACACTCATCAGTTCTTTCTGCCAGTGAAACTGAACATGAATTAGCGATCAATGCGGGTTCTGCTACTTAGGCTTCTTTGAACACATAAAATGGCATCAATTATTAAGATCAAAATTCTGTTCATTGCCTTTATACTGACATAAGGAACACTATAAAATTGAATTGCATTTGGGGACTGGAAATATAGAGTTGCAATTAATACTTTTTCCCGAGAGGGCTTCTGAGGATAAACGTATATCATTTGCAAATATGTAATCACAAATCAAATATTCAAGTAATTTTGCTTTGTTGATGTAGGGGATGAGGTGCAAAATTCAGAACCAGAGGATGTTAACAGATTACTCTTCTCGGCTATAGTTTAAAGGGATTGAATATTCTTGTTGAAAAAGACTTCTATTTGCAAGTTATGCTTTTACAATACACTGTGCAACATTTTCTATGTAAATTTTGTATGATCTATTGGGGAATAATTAAATGCTTTAGAAAACTACACCCATCCACTCCAAAACTGTGAAAACATTCAGGTACAGTTCACTTTAAGTGCTTTATCTTCAATAGTGAAACAGAAATCCAAAAACATGTCAATTAACCAGTCTGCTGAACAGAGATCTCCTGTTAACAATTTTGGCAACACATGATCCAAATATATTCTAGCTACTGCTTTTGTGCTCAATGAATTGATTTTTCAATAAAACATTTAAACAATACATGTTATGATCTGTGCAAGTAAATGAGACTATAATAACTTTAATCAATTGATCATCATTAATTCCAAAATGAACATGTAGAAGAAATCACAATATCTCTTGTGCCTGCTGCTACTTGGAAGGAGGCTCCTCCAACCACTTGGCACGAAAGCCTGTTCCTTTACAATCAGGGCAGCACATTGACCCCTGAAAAATCAAAATATGGATGGTATTTGACATTATTTGTATTCAGAATTAAGAAGAATGTTTGAAGAACAATCATAGACTTGGAAGTTTTAATACCTTTCCAGTACAAATAACACAAGTAGTGTTCCTGGAAGGAACCTGGCAAAGCATGTTATCTCCAAGAATGAAGAAGCCTGTACCTGCACACCATTTACATTCCACGTGTCCATTTGAGTGGCAAGAAGCACAAGCAACTGGTCTTGGTTGCTGTAATTATCATCATCAAAAGTTAAAAACAAGCAAATTAGGGTTTACAAGCTAAGATTTTTCCAAATTAATTAATGTCAGTTCATCATAGCAACTGAAAAAGGAAAATCCCAATTGATATTTCTATAGGATAATCCAAAGCCCAACAAATGAATAACAAAATTTATATTCTAATCACCTGTGAAATTAACCAGGCTTGTTCCATGCGCCTAGCAAAATTAGAGGAACTCTCGTATGAATCCACCATTGAAGCCCTAACCAAAGAAACCCTAGAAGTACTGACGGTGGTTGTACTAGAAGGTACAACCCCCAACCTGATTAGCACCGGTTTAGTTGATACAGTAAAGCTCATTTTGTCTATAGATTTGGGGACAATCACAGATTTGCCACAATAACATATACAATTCGTCATTTTGTTTAACGCAGCGGGGAAGAAAATTTTCTAGGTTATAAAGAGAGAAGAAAACCGTGGATTCTGAGAGTTTTTCTTGTGGCGGAAACGTAACGGAAATTTTCTTTCCTTCGTCTTCAATGTCTGTGTGTGAGAAAACGGTGAACTATCGGCGGCCTTGGGCCCACTTTCTTGTTTGGACCGAGACGTTGTTCGATCAATATTTGTTTTTGATTTTTCAAAAATTTGGATGACGTAAGGAACTACGGACTGGCTTCTCATGGGCCTTGACCATTTCTAGTTGGGCTTGGCTTTAATTAACCAATTTTGGGTTATGAAAAAAATTTACTGATAAACAGTTGGATCGGTATCAGTAACGAAGGTTATGGCCCTGCTCATGAATAGATTTTCAGACAGCTTTTAGAATTTTTACTTAGTTATGGGGAGTCTTATCTTTCAGACGAGATTAAGAATTTAATCCTTATACATAGAACAAATACTCATAGGAGTTATATTGCTTAATGGACCGAACCGGCACAAAGCAATGATTAATTAAATCAATATAGATCAGAGCAATATCCTTATTTATTCTATTTCTATATGCTTCTTCATGTCAGTCCAAGAGATTAGTTGCATGAAGATAACCTCAACCCTAATGTCAAAATAGCAAGTACCCACATAAAATTTCCATTTAAGTTAGCAACTGAAAACCCAACCCATATTAATTAAGCATATAAGCTTATATGTCTCCTATCTTTATATCTTTCCTTACTGCCTTCTGATTAAAGTTCAAATTCTAATAAACCTCACCAAAAATCTCTCTCTTTCTCCCCACAATGGAAAGATATATCAACTCCTCCATAACCCCATCGCCTACCTCACCCACAACCTTTGTCCAAGCCGACACAAACACCTTCAGAGACCTCGTTCAAAAGCTTACAGGCCTAGCCGGTGACTCATCAGAAAAATTTCCGGTTACTCTTCCCACTAAACTCTCCTCAAAGCTTTCTCATCCCGTTGACCCAACAGGACCACGCCGGTCATCTTTCAAGCTTCAAGAACGTAGACAACACACCATCAGAAAACTCGAAATCGAACTTGGCCTCACCTCTCAGTTCTCCTTCCGAAAAACTCATCGACTCGAGTCACCGATCCCAAGTCCTGTGACTCCACTATCATCAGACTCGCTCTTTTTCCGGAGTCCTGGAACTGAGTCACCGTCGTCTCCAGCAGTTTCGGAGGAGGAAAAAGCTATAGCAGAGAAAGGGTTTTATTTGCATCCATCACCGTTGACTACACCGAGAGGAAGCGAGCCACCGGAACTATTGACACTTTTTCCACTGAGTTCTCCGAATCTGAGAAATCAAGATTAGTTTTTTTTTTTTATTTCTTTCTTCTTTATTGAGTGTCGAAAGAATGTTGTAGGAAATACGTATAATCTTGGCAGTATTTTGCATGGGTTACTAATTACTTACTGTTGAAGAGTGTTCAAGTCTTCAAGAAGTGGTTTCTTGATTAATTTTCTTCCCTGAATCGTTGTCGAATAGTGTGGTAAGTTTATTTTCAACGGGATGAACAGTAAACGACGTAATGGCATGGCAACCGTTTGCCAAACTGATGATGATTGACTTTGATTTTTTTTTTTAAACTTTCTTTTGACTTTTCTTTTATTGGTTGATGAACTTTGTCTCGTCAGGCATTTATTGGTCCAGGAGTAATCCCATGGCGCGTACTTAGTATAAGTTTTTGAGCTCAAAAATCCAAATTGATTTTTCTTGCATTACCTCATAAAACAGATTAATCATCAATTTCCTTTATTTTCTCAATATTGTAAAATAATAAATTAGTCTGCAGTTATATTTTTTAAAATTAACTACGAAGTCTCTAATTTATTATTATTTTGTTAACATTAGAGTTAAATTATGATTTTTGTTAACAATTTGGCTTTTCTATTTTGGACAAAATAAATAAAATTATTTCTTTATCATAAAGAATTTTATCAATTTATTTTTTTAAAAGGAATTAGGCAATTATTGTGAAATTGATAGATAAAAGTAATAAATAAGAGTTGTCAAGCAAATAATTTAAAATTATCACTTTTAAAAAATATATTATTGTTACTATTTAAATAATTTTATTGTGTATTTATTACATAATTTGCATTGTAACTCATATTTTAATACTTTATAATAAAATTTGCCTGAACGCGATGTATACACCTCTAAATATTAACATATTTCAATTGTAAGAACAAATGTGTGAGTACGTAAGCGTCCACAAACGAAAAGAGGACCCCACCGGTAGGCTTGCGTTGGGCATTTCCGTCGGCCCCACACTGATATTCAATAGTCCATCTGCTTCGTCGAAAAATGGAAATAGTCTTTGTTGTGACGTTGCGGTCGTTGTCTAAAGACCGTAAGTTTGTAAAAAGATGACCGTTAGATTACTCCACAGAAACGGCTGTGATTAAATAACGGAGTTGGGTTGTCAATACACGGCACCAGACTGTTTTTGCTTCTTGGCCCCGTCGAGTCACAAGGAAAGTGCCTATGGTGGTCCTTATCTTATAATATTTCTCTTACTTTTAATCTAGGTTAATTAATGTTAAGTACTTAAGTAAGTGTCTTTTTGTTTTTTTTTTTTCCTGTTTCAGGGTAACACGGTAGCTCTTGTACTCCCTGACGTTAAGCAAGGTTTTTGACGCTGAGATACTTATCACTCACTGTCAATCTATTTTTTAACTCTCAGAACTTTTTTTTTTAATTTTAGAAAACATGTTTTTATTTTATATCGAGATTATGGCTCCATCTATGGATCAAAATAATAAAAATATAAATTTTTAAAAATAATTATTAAATTTTATCTTTTTTTAGTATATTGTCGTAGCTCGTAAACACTCTCGTTTCAATAAAATTTATATTTTCATTAATTTAGTCTATAAAACTATAGACTCAGTGTTGATAAGATAATAAATATTCACATTTTCATTACTAATAGCAAAGTTATATTGGAAGCAAAACAACATATTATCGTCTATCCATTTATATAGTTATTAATAATATATTAATCAAGATGATAAATTGTCTGGATCCTCATAATAATTGAATTGTATTACAAATTTAAAATATAATATATTATTAATTGATGTGAATTAAATGAATTTGCAAGATTGATTACTATAGTCTTAATTCATAGGTTCGATTCTCTGTAATATAGGATTAAATAAATTTACTGTGAATCGTAAAAATAGATACGAATTTAGACACTTTGCGAAAACATTAAAAAAAAAAAAAAAGAACAGTTCAACGAGACCAACACCTATTTCAGCATTTGGACTTATAATGATTGGAAGTCACCGCTTTAGCCATTTAGGAAGGAGGGGTCCCAATTTCCTCCTCCCACAAAAACACAACGCAAACACCAAAATTTTGGTTTCTGGTGCCGGAATATTTGAATTTGGCGACAAGACACGATTTGATTTCTTTTGTTTTTTTAATTTAAAATAATCCATTTTCCAATATAAACGCCATGAAAAAATATTTAGCTTTGGTGTTAAGACGCAGTAGCTATCAAAGAAAACGCGGTGTAGAATTTTTGCACGACCTGAAAGAAGAATGAGAAAGGAATTCGGGGCTTTGAAAATCTATAATGATTTCGAATAATATTCCTTATTGTGTCAATTAATTAATTAATTAATCTTAAATTTATTTAGTGGAACCGTGTAAATGTGATATATGAATATTTTTTTTCAAAAAAGAATTTAATAATTTTGACTGTGTTGGGTCCGGGTGTGGATGAATCTCTTTTGTCTTTGCACTAAAAGCACTCAATGGTTCAAATGGTCAATGAGTCATTATCCCTTACCCCCTAACAGTTAGGCCTGAATGTGAAATGGTCAATGAGAAAATGATAGGCTGTCTGGCGAGCTTCCAACGCATGGTCTTGTATTTCACAAGACACACCACAAGCACTAAACTATTTGTATATCTGGAATAATCGTGCTTTGCCCAATTCTTTGATAAAGACCTCTTTTTTTAATTATTCGGTGTCTGAAATTCACCGATACCGAAACTCACTGATTCGACTAATGTAAATTCAATGTCAGACAGATCCACAAAAAGATAAAGTGTTCTCTCCTAAGTGTTTAAAGGGATTTTACACGTAGTATTTAAATTTGAGATCTCTGATTGAAGAAAATATAATCTCTCACATCCTATCTCACCCCTCGAAAGTACAGACAACTTGTATATAATATATAATTGTTCAAAGATTTATTTAATCTAAACTAACAAATTAAGAAGTCTCTGGGAGATTATACTTGTCCAGAGACTTCATTTATGTCTGATATGTATGTGTTTTGCTCTTGAAGTCTTTTGAATTTTTTATTATATGTATATATAACCACTGACCATTTCTGCTACTTGAATCCTACCCCACCTATAATTAATTCAAACAATAATTCTCTAGATTTTAATTAATATGAGTTTGACAACCTTTCAACAAATTAATAATTGAAAATCAATTTTGTAGAAGTGAATTTCATAAAATTTTACAAATTTCCTTTGTAAATTTTATTAATAAAACTCAACTTTTATGATGACACTTTAAGCTAAACATGGACATGATTATCTCATATGTAAAAATGATTAATTTCAACACCCAATTACTAAAACAAGCACAAATTATAAATGTGTTGACCCAAGAAATATATGATATGATATGATATGATATTCCAATCAAATTGGATATTTCTGGACTTGGCATGAAGGAAGCAAACATGCATGGGTAATCATGGGATATATTTGCTTATTTCGTATATAGAATCCTCTTAGATTAAAGTTTAAAACCGTTGGCTTCAAAATCTCCACGGATCAATTTTCATGCCTCTCAGAGTGTATAGAAAATATTTCGATCGTGTAAATCGGTAAACAGATATGAGCTTGTAGTTAAAAAATTATTCGCCTCTAAGTCATGAAATTGATCATTGGTTTTAGGCAATTTGGTTTAGAGTTGCGTCCTTATAGCTCTCACAAGTTTTTTATACCAACTTTGATAATTGGTTTTTTAACTTGATTATAAAAGATAAGGTATATCCTTAAAGATAATGGATTGTGATCCCTTGATTCATAAATCTTTTGTAAGACAAAAAAGGCTTTCTCCAAAAGTCTCACAAGGTCAAGCCAATTCTCAAATTGCACTCACAAGGAGAAACAACTATGATTACCAATTCAACATCAATGGTTGGGCTTGCACCTATTCTTTGAAAATTGTCGTTTGCTAAATTTTCTAGGAAAAGACATATTCCTATCTTCATGTTATAATAAGCTTTTGAAATTTGTTTAGAGGTAGTGGATTTTAGCTTATAGAGTGATGAGAATGTTATTATTTTTAATTTAAAATAATAACGTGTTGGTCGAGATAGTAAACGGTATTGATTTTTGTAAAGTTAAAAACAAAAATTCGATTCCTTCGATCCTGTTTTATTATTTTCTTAAAAATTCGATTGTAGCTCTACCTCAAGTTGAAAATATATGATTGTCGTCTATCCGTTTGGTAATAATCTAACTACTTCATTTGTTTATTTTATTGAGAAAATAATGTTTAATTTATTTAATTGGTCTACATATACAAATAGACATATGCATGAATAGAGATATGATGATAATGTAAGAAACAGCTAAAACATACTGTCAATTCGATAAAGTAAAATTTATTAGAAAAAAAAAAAAAAAAACGTTTTTTTAGAAGGTAGTAAGGATTTTTTAGCTTATAGAGTGAATGAGAATGTTATATCACTTTTTAATTTAAATATCGTGTTTGGTCCCGATTGATAGTAAACGGTATTGATTTTTTGGTAAAAGTTTAGAAAAAAAATTGCGATATTCCTTCGATCCGTGTTTTATTATTTTTCTTAAAAATTCGATTGTAGCTCTAGCCTCAAGTTAAAATATATGATTGTGTCCTATCCCGTGTTGGTAATAATCTAATACTTATTTGTTTATTTTTAATTGAGAAAATAATGTTTATAATTTATCTAATTGGTCTACTCATATCAAATAGACAATATGCAGGGATGAATAGAGATATGATGATTATGTAAGAAACCGCTAAACATACTGTATTTCGATAAAGTAAAATTTAATTAGAAAGAAAAAAAAAAGAACGTTTGATGACTATAAAAAAAAGGTAAAAATAAAGAAGACAAGAAAAGCGATCTTTGAATGCCCATTACCCCCAAAACACAAACATACATTATTATTTCACCAAAAAGAAAAAATCCACAGAAAAAGAATAAAAAGGCTATAGTTAAGTAAAGTTCTAATTGGAGCTCGTCCTAATTAACAGAAAAAAAAAAAAAAAAAACGTTTGATGAAACTAATAAAAAAAAAGGTAAAAATAAAGACAAGAAAAAAGGATTGATGCCCTTAACCCCCAAATCCAAAAAATAATTATTTTCAAAAAAAAAAAATCCAGAAAAAGAATAAAAAGATAGTTAAAAGTTTCTAATTGGGCTCGTCCTAATTAACAGAGATCATGGGCTGGTTTGCAACCAATGAAAGCCCATGAAAGAAGCTTTGGAAAGATGAATGGCAATTTGGACATTTCAAAGTGGGCTTGGACTCGTCTTCTTTTTCCCTCAAACTCTGCCATCTCATGGGCTTTCGTATAATAGTATGATAAAATAATAATTCATTTTCATTTTTTTAAAAAAATTAACAGTAAAAAAGTATAAAATTTGAACAAAATAATTAGACTGTTGTGTAATTTTATACAATAGAAATGTATTTATGTATTTTTTTATCAAATTATTGTAATAAAATAGTAATTATTCATAATTAAAATATGATCTAACAACCATTCAGATTTAAAAAAAAAAAAAAATGTTGACCACTACAGAACTACAGTGGACGGTGTTTTGGTGTTGGACGGTGACGCTGACATTTTCCACTTCCCCAACCCCAACAGCAACACCACGCCATATGAACCACATGTCACACGATACGGCTTGACTTGCCTTTCTTTCTTGTATAGGATGATAACCATTTTCACGTGATTATTCTACTTTCATGCTAACATTTCAAATCTCATTTTTCTTTTACACTTTTGTTGGGAAGTAGTGATTTTATGGAAGGAAAAAAAAATATATAAATGGAAAATAATAAGAGAAGACAACTTTTCTTTGCTCCAAATAAGGATATAAAATTTTGAAGAAAGGAAAATTTAAGATTAGAAGTATATATTTACGGTCATGATATTTTCTTTCCTCTATAATTTCGGTTTTTAGTAATTTTAAATATTAAAGAATTATTGATTAGTAATTTTACAGTGTAAGAATAATCTGATGTTTGTATGTTATAATTGCACTTTTTTTTTAATTATAAAATATAATTAATTTCTAATTAAGTTAAAAATATAATGCAGTTGCAGCAGTTGGCAAGTTGAGGTATTTTTGGTTATACGGTCAGTGGGGAATTTCGTCGATCACAAAGCAAGCACAGCACTAATTTTGTGAAAATCGAACTCAAAATTATATCCACGTCCAACCGGGCGGACCCCATCTGTGGTCCTCTCCTCAGTCTTTGATCGATCGATCAATCCTTCCAAAGGGTATAATTTTATTTTCATTCCCAGAATCTACTCTCTGTGGCCACAGAACCCCTGCAAGATTTCCTCTAAAAAACCGTCATTCTTCATCTTTTCAATCTCAAACATCTCACCATAAGTTGTTCTCTGCTTCCCACGGCACTTGTCTTTTACTCTTTCTCTATATTTGTTTTCTTTAACTCTATTATTGATGTTTAGCTAAAATCTATTAGTTTTCTCCATGTTAAACTGATCAGAATGGATTGAGCAGTGATCTCTAATCACCATATCTATTTTTATCACTCTCACAATGCATCAACCTTCTACGGTAACACAGGAATCTGGCCCCGTATTTGATTTTGTCGGTCAATTAGGTCGCTTTACCTTTAATACAGCTTTTCAGAGCGCAAATTCAAATGGGTACTCTTCATTCAAGTCAAATTATTTGTTTTTTGAGAGTCCTTCTGGGAAAACGAAGCGCAAAGTAGCTGCTTCGCTTAGATTGGGAGGCTGGGGCACTTCTAGTGTTAGAAGGATTTGGAGTGAGTTCAATAGGGCTATTAGGTTTCACTGTGAGAGTATCCCAGTTGGGTTTGCTTCCGTTCAGGTTGGTTCTGGCGATAGTAACGGTGATAATGGCAATGGCTTAAGAGACGATGGATGCGGTGTTCTGGTTGACGGGGGCTTGCCTTTGAATGGAGTAGAGGCTGAAAGCCGGAAAAAAGTTCTCATTTTGATGAGTGACACTGGGGGTGGCCACCGAGCTTCTGCAGAGGCTATTAAGTCAGCGTTTCACGAAGAATTTGGTGATGACTACCAGGTCAGTTTTGAATTTTAATGGATTCTGATTTAGTTTCATTATGAACTTGAGGGAGTGAAAATTTGCTTTGAACTAGTATACTGAAACTTCATCTTATTTGGGTATGCTTATGTTGGGTTACGAGAATCAATAATGCAAAAAAGCAGATTTTGAATTTCAGTATTTCCTTTCTATAATTTTGTTTTTTTTCTCCTTCCGGCAAGTTGTCTGTTGTTTATTGCATTGCTGGGGCAAAAAGATTTTCTGGGTGTATAGATTTGTATTTGTTGATTATGTTATGTGTGTTAAGAGTGCATGTCGCAGGTGTTTATTACTGATTTATGGTCAGAGCATACACCTTGGCCATTTAATCAATTGCCCAGAAGCTACAATTTCTTGGTGAAACATGGACCATTGTGGAAAATGACATATTATGGGTCTGCACCTCGTGTGATTCATCAATCTAATTTTGCTGCAACTTCTACTTTTATAGCCCGGTGAGATTTTCTTGTCTTCTTTAGATAGATATATATTGGTTTATTTTTCTGGAATCAAATGAAATGTTTATGTGATTTACTGAAAATAGTTGCATCCTTATTGCGTTTTTCAAGTTTAATAATATGGTTCATATGGGCCCAACATTTTACTTGTTATCTGCAGAATAGTTCTTACGTTATTCATTGTGCTACTTTAAACTGTTGAGGATGTTTGTACTACTTGAAACAGTTATGCCAGTGCGCTATTCTTGCTTGATCCCTATATATATATATATTATTTTGCAGGGAGGTCGCCAAAGGATTGATGAAATACCAACCTGATGTTATTATCAGTGTACATCCACTTATGCAACATGTTCCTCTTCGTATATTGAGGGCAAAGGGTCTTTTGCAGAAGATAGCTTTTACTACAGTTATCACAGATTTAAGCACCTGTCATCCTACGTGGTTGGTTTCATGCATCTAATTTATGTTTTGATTTTGACAACATAATTTTGATTTTTATATCTTTATGTTTAGGTTTCATAAGCTTGTCACAAGATGTTATTGCCCAACAACAGATGTAGCTAAGAGGGCATTGAAAGCTGGGCTTCAGCCTTCCCAAATTAAGGTTTATGGCCTTCCAGTGCGCCCTTCCTTTGTTAAGCCTGTTCGACCAAAGGTTTGTTATCATTCTTGCTCATTAAGTTTGACTCTCGTGTGGTGATACATCTTTGGCCTGTAATACATTTTATGATGCATTGTATGGTTTGTTGAAGATCATATGGTCCCTGAGATTGCATATTCTGTGAGAAGTTATTCATATGGATTTCTTAGTTAAATCCATAGTTCTAAATTAGCAGAGTATAGAAGGTAGCTCTTCAATCTAATGGCTCTAACTAGAGAAGTTTCAACCATAAGTTTCAGCTCTTTTATTCTTCCCAATTAATGTCAAACTGAATGTAGATTTGATGTTACATGGATGTTTACCTGTTTACTTTACTTTAGCTTATTGCATTATGATCTTATAGGCTGAACTAAGAAGAGAATTAGGAATGGATGAAGATCTTCCAGCTGTGTTGTTAATGGGAGGAGGGGAAGGAATGGGTCCAATTGAGGCAACTGCACGGGCACTTGCGGATTCGTTATATGATGAGAATCTCGGTGAGCCAATAGGTCAGGTGCTGGTGATATGTGGTCGCAACAAAAAGCTGGCCAACAGACTGCTTTCAATTGATTGGAAGATTCCTGTGCAGGTCTGATGCATCCTCTCATAATTCCCAAACTCTTCTATGATATTGTCTTTTGAACTTCACATCATACCTTCTTCTCTCTCCCTTTCTTTTTCTTTTTGCTAGTAGTCATTTTTTTCTATTTCTCATGATCTTCATTTGCGTTGTATAATTGACATCTATCTTCTCTAGGTCATCTGATTGTTACCAAATCATCTTGACAGAATTTATGATTTTATGTATGAGCTCTTTTGCATTAATAGCAAATTCCAATTTTTTGAAGAATTATTTGAATTAAAGAAACAAATAAATCACTTAAAATTGTTTAGCCAGATAGTTTTGGAAGTGCAAGTTGTACTTTGTGCTTCAACCTGCCACATTTCTAGCTCCTGTCCAACCCCTTACTCTCTTGTTCCTTTTTGGGTAGATTCCAAAGCATTTCAAGAATCATGCAGAGCCATTCTTAGTAGGGATGCAGGATTGGCCCCTGGAATTGGGATACAATTGTATAGTAATCATTGATGTACTATAAGTCCATTGTCTCACTGCACTAAGCAGTGAGGTTGACAATGGCTTAGGATTATGCATGTTTACAAGGGATTAGACATATACACATACATGCATTTGTATTCAACAACAAAGATATATACAATACTGAAGAAGCTCCAATCATGCAGGTGAAGGGCTTTGTCACTAAAATGGAGGAATGCATGGGTGCTTGTGACTGTATTATAACAAAGGTAAGTTCTCTTCATGACAGTACTATTAACTTTTCTGATCCAATATTATTCTATGCTAATAATTTGGCTTCTATAGGCTGGCCCAGGAACAATTGCGGAAGCAATGATTAGAGGCCTCCCTATAATCCTGAATGATTTCATTGCTGGGCAGGTAAGTTGCTTAACTTTATTATGGAATTTATAAAATAAAATAAAAGTGTCACGTGTTTCTACTAGCTTAAAATTTTTGAGTGCTGTTCCTGGTCCTTGCCTAGCTATCTAGCAAGGGGAAAGCCCAAATCAACTAGCATATAATGTTTACACTATAGTTCCTAAACTAAACCAGGCTTTCCAGTCCCAGAACATGCTACATGAGAGAACGATCATTCTACACTCTTGACTGTGCTTTTCATCTTATATATGCGAGGAATCTACTCAATGTATATTGTCATAACTTCATGGAAGTTAATTAGATGAGTTTCAAACTTGAATTTTGGGAGCCCCCTCACCTCTACCTACACACGCATGGAGAAAAAACGATTATTCTACAAATTTTCATTGAAACTTTCATCAGACCCCCCCTTCCTCTTTTTGTCTGACGACCATGAACTATTTATACTGCAGGAAGTCGGAAATGTGCCTTACGTGGTGGAAAATGGATGCGGCAAATTTTCAAAGTCACCAAAAGAAATTGCAAATATTGTTGGTCAATGGTTTGGTCCAAAGGCAGATGAGCTCAAGGCCATGTCACGAAATGCACTGAAGCTAGCAAGACCAGAAGCTGTATTCAAGATTGTTCATGATCTTGATGAGCTTGTTAGACAAAAAAATTATGTACCTCAGTCCCAATATGCCTGTGCCAGTTGAACGTATTATTTTGCTAATGATCAATTTTGACAGTAGTTCATTTACAGTGTATAGTGGGCTAAGTAGGAGTGCTTTTTTCTGCTGATGCGCTTGATTTATTGTGAAAATAAATGGAAAAATAATTTTGCTCATGATTTAAAGTTATCATTCTTATTTTCCTCGAAAGGGGAAAAAAAGTTTATCATGTTTATTTCTTTGGTGTCATTAATATACTCCTAACTGTTATTTCCTGTTAATAAAAATTCTGAAATCTTGCAAGATATGATTTTGCGAAATCCTTCATTATTAAATTGAGGGATCTTTTAAACTATTTCTTTAAATCATAAAAATGTTCTTAATTTTTATGAATTTAATATTTTTACCAAATTTGTGAAATTTGAAATTTAAATAATTTCAATTAAAAAATATATATTATTATGTACTAATAATAATAGTCCTATCATTAAATAGAAATAGTATAATTTTTTGGGCCTGAAAGAGGATTCAAATCCTTCAGATAATATTTGTTTGTTATGGTTAAATAAGACATCAATTAAGCTTTTATTCTGAAGCAAATATAAATTTTGTATGAGTCTGACTGCCACGGAAATTGACAAGTCATCAGGAGGTTCGATTGACGACGTGGTAACGTTTGGGGCCCATCAGATGGATGACAGTTACAGCATCAGATTTCATTTGCTGCCACGCCATCCCAAAGCTGGAAGAGAACCTTGTCAAAACATCACCATTTGTCTTGCTCTTTAAATCTGTTGGTGGCACCTGAAATTAGCCGAGAAACCGAAAAACTTAATTGCAGGAAGGGAATGTTATTAATTTTCAGTGAAACAAAGAAATGAAATATATTCATGTCAATTCATCATCACACCAACTATTGATCTTGTATTAATTCTAGTGCTCGGTTCTTGTCGAAAGATGAACACTTTATAGCAAATCCAAGATTACTCATTTCAAATTTGGGATTATTTTTGCTTTCTATTGAGAATTTTGCGATAGTATTGGGGACTTAGGCAAATGGGTTGGAGATATAAAGCTGGGTTGGGATTGATTGGCACAGTTGTGTTCATATGGGTTACTTCTGCAGAGGTCACTCAGGTAATTGGCTTTGAATGGATCTTTCTTTTTCTATGGTTGGTTCTTCCTTTTCTGTTTGATTGTCAAGAAAATGTGCAAAAAGAAAGAAAAATATATGAAAATATTTTATTCCCATCAAAGTAAAAGAAAAAAGAAATAAAAGGAAAATTTTGTCTTGAAATCACGTATCCTTTCACGTTTATGGGTGTTGTAACACTTCCAATACGACTCAGCTCCCATGTTTCTTTCTTTGTTATTGACAAATTTATTTTTGAGCAGCACATTTGATTTGTTATATATCGTTAGCGATGATAAAATTTGTTTTCACCTTTCCTATTTCATGCAGAATATCTTTGAAAAGTACAAACAGCCATTTGCACTAACATATCTTGGAGTGTCTCTTATGGTAGTCTATCTACCCATAGCGCTTGTAAAGGATTGGTTCTGTAGCTTGTTCCAGACCAACTTGTTAAGGAATTTCTACAGAGGGGACTCTTCTTCTGGACTTACTATACCTCTTAGAATCAATGATGTGCACCAAGGCCCAGAAACCGACACCGGTTGCTGCCTAATCACTGACAAGGATCTCAGTGAAAGGGAGGAGGGTTGGCCTGTGACTGTGAAGAAAGGGGAAAAAGATCCTCCTTTGCTCCAACCGTATTGCGAACCTAGTTCATGGGAAGTTGCCAAGTATGGTTTATATCTTGCTCCAATCTGGTTTATAACAGAGGTAATTTGATTCGTTCATCAACTTTTCTTCAGGATCCATTAGCTTTGTAGAGGAGCTTGTTGGGGAAATCTAGGGCATATTGTGCATGGCTACTGATAAAGAAAAGAAGTCATTACTAATTAAAGGCTAAGCAGTTACTCTTCCCAATAATTTAAGTTGTTGAGGATGATTGGGCATTGTTTAGAATTGGTAGTTAATAGGAGTCAGAAAAATCTGGATAAATCATTTGACCCAGAGAATCGTGGATGACTGTTAATTACTTCAGCAACAAAAGGGAGAAGTTGTAATTCTTTTAACTGAGAAAACAGACTTTGCCAATGATTTTGCATATGGGGTTTACTAATACTGCTCTTGATTTCATAATGTTAAGTCAGCATAGCTCCATCAGAAATCTGCTGATCAGTGATTGTAACATTGAAGCTGAATTGGCATAGCTGATATTAATAGATGATCTATGTACCTGAATTTGATAATTCATAGTTCAACAACTGCTTGAGAAGCAATTGTTTTCTGATTCTGTTTAATTGTATACAGCGAGTCAGTTCTATTTTTTTTATAATAGTTATTCTGATGCTGAATGAGTAATTGGAGAACTCGTAACCTGATTTGGCTTTGATGACTCAAAGCTGTCTTTTCTTGATCTTGTTTTAATGATTTTCATGTAATGCTGGTCTTCAAGGTCCCTTCATAAACATTCTGAATTACTATTTAAGTTGCTTTAATAATGCAGTATCTATCAAACTCGGCTTTAGCAAACACAAGTGTTGCAAGTACAACTGTCTTAACTTCTACTTCGGCGCTCTTTACTCTTTTCTTTGGAGCTATTCTTGGCCAGGACTCCATCAATACTGCAAAGTTGGTTGCTGTTTTTATCAGCATGGCTGGTGTTGCCATGACCACAGTTGGAAAAACTTGGGCTGCAGATGAAGCATTGAGCATCTCTGAGTAAGTTATTGAGTCATATGGAAGCAACAATGTCCCAAATGTATCTTCATAGCTTCTCTATTCATTGATACATGACATCCACTCTTATGCACCAATTTGAAGGACATCATATAGCTTTGAGTTAATGTTTAATATTGGCCAGATTCTAAGAAAATCTTTTAGCTTATGTCAATGGGCATTGGGCCTGGCTGATGAACTGGTCCATCAAAAAGGCATTTGAAAGTGGGAGAGGGAGGGAGGGGTTTAAAGTTTGCGTACAAGAAGCACATTTTGAAAAGTTGAATTGCTATCCTCCTTGGGCATTCATGTGGTCCATGTAGCTTCTCCTCTCTACTATAATAATAGACACAGATCTGTTTCATTTATGGCTTTCGCTGTGTTCTGACCTGAATTGCTACTGATACTTCGGGGAAATGTTTACGGTTTTACACGAACCTAAAGTTTTGCTCGCATATTAATTTACAAACAATATTTGAGGGCCACTTACGTAGAATTACAGAAAGGATCTTTAGGTTCAAGACTTGACACTTTTATTCCTCCTTTATTTTTTTGCTTCTGTAATTTTTCTTCACCAGTTGTTAAAACTATGACTTATTTATGTTTCTAAGGACAAGAAGACATTCCATCAAAGGGGACATACTTGGTCTTTTCTCCGCAATACTGTATGGCTTATTCACAGGTTAGATGTATGAATTTGTCAGTGATCATGCTCAAATTTAACTTTTGCAAGGTTGTTTTTGACATCTCTTCCTTGACTGGTCTATTAAGTACAGTGCTGCTCAAGAAATGTGCTGGATCAGAAGGCGAGAAAGTTGATATGCAAAAAGTCTTTGGTTACATTGGTCTCTTTACTCTTTTAGGGCTTTGGTGGCTTTGTAAGTAGCTTGCTACTCTCTAGGTCATTCTCACTTTGTTGTTGCAAACTTGGGATCTAAGAAGAGAAATACATGCATGAAAACTGAAACATAAGACATAATTTTTATGAAATGAAGGGTGCAAATGTTTAAATGATGGAATTGGGGAACTGATAAGTGCATTTATCTATCTGTAATATATAGATAGATGCAGGAGCTAGCATGACCATTTGTAAAGTAAAAAACGACTCTCGACCCCATGTTCAAATAAAATGTGTGATAGCTTTTAAGTTTCTTTAAGGTTGTGAGTGCTGTTGTAGATCCCAATACTTAATTCCAACATTCATGCCTGTACTTTTCCTTTTCTAAAGTGGCTCAGTTCGTGGCAATATTGTTTCTTGCAGTGTGGCCATTACATGCTGTGGGGATTGAACCGACATTCAACTTTCCACATTCAACTTTCATTTATGAAGTTGTGCTATTAAATGGCGTTGTGGGAAGTGTTCTGTCAGATTACTTTTGGTATGTATGTCAGTCGTGAATTACTTCTCTGTTGATTGAACACTGATAATAAACATTTTGCTGTTGCCATTAGATCTTTTAGTGATATTGGTTATAAATTCTGCAGGGCACTTTCTGTAGTTTGGACTACTCCACTGGTTGCAACATTGGGCATGTCATTGACAATACCTCTTGCAATGGTAGCGGATATGGTTATACACGGGCGTCACTACTCGGCAATCTACATCTTGGGATGCATTCAGGCATGCGTATTTCCATCAGTACTTGTAAAAGCAACATTTATGGGCAATTTGTACTGACAAAGTTTATTGGACTCAGGTTTTTGCAGGTTTTGTTATAGCCAACATTTCGGACAAAATTTCGGTCAAGCGGGAGTTGTAGCAGCTCTGTACTGGTTTTGACAAGCAGCATAATCTTGTGAATTGGGAGTGTTACGGTTACAGTTACACGAATCTTTGAAGAGTGAACTTTATCTTCCCCGTTTATAATGTGCAGATAAATACTACTGTTAGGATGCTCGTTAAGAGCTCCTCCTCTTTATTAAGGTAGTTTCCTATGGAATTTCATCTGAATGGTGGAATAAATTGCAAGATCATGATTCTCAACTTAATATGTAGATCATGTCCTTTTTGTTAATTAAATTTCTACATCTTGGATCCATGAAATTGGCAAAGATTATGGTCTCTCTCCGTAACAGTTTTTCAATATTATTCTCTTTAATATTTGATAAAACAGTATCAAAATAGTTAAAAGTTATCGAAAAAATTAATTTATCATTAATTTCCGCAAGTGTGAGAAGATTATTGAAAAAATTAATTTATCATTAATTTCCGCAAGTACGAGAAGAGTTTAAAAACTGTGGCTCGTTTAGAGGGAGTTATACCTTTTAGTTATATAAAAATTCACAAATTGCTTTTACGTTACAATTCTTAGTTATTAAAAAATAAAAATATATATGATTGTCAAATTGCTTTGCATGAATATTTATTTAAAATTATATCTAATATTATTTTTTTAATAGTGATTAAGGAGTATTATTATGGAGAAACTTCGATTATCAACCAAAAATAGCAATTAATAATTAAATTATCATTATAGATAATTAACGTAATTAATAGCGAAAGGGTAAAAATGATTGGATACGGTCGAGTATAGGTTTTTTTAAACACAACACGCACAAACAAAAACAAAACACAATAAAGGAAAGCCGTCTGTTCCTGGAATTTCTTCTGGAGCGGCTGCTGCACCTACACTAGCTCTCTTGTAAGCTCCAAACACGCTAGTAGAACGAGGAGAAAGCTAAAGTGTCTATCGATTCGATTCTGTTGTTGTTGTTTTTTCAATTCAGAAAACTCAAATCCAATTGAAAGCAGATGGACAAAGGAAAAGCAGTGTTGGGTTCGGGCCGTAGATGGGCTGTCGATTTCACTGACAATTCAACTGCTCCTTCTTCTCGGGATATTCCTGATCCTCCTGGCTTCTCTCGCGCCACTCAAGATCAGGTGTTTTTTTAGTTTCTCAATTTATTCGAATCAAATCCTTTGCGTTTACTTGCGGATTTAGTTAATTCTTAATCTCACTTGGATGTGAACTTTCCATAGGACGATTCAACGGGAACCAAGCAGAAGAAGGATGCTGAAGTTAATTGGAAAGCTCAGGTTAGCTTGTGCATATTATGATTTTGATTTTATTTATTTATTTATTTATTTGAGTTTTAATTGTTTTCTTCTACTTTCCGGATTGATAGAATTGATTCAGGAGTTTTTTTTTTTATTTTCTTTTCTGGAAAAAAAAAATTGCAGTGGATTATGGAGCCATTTATTTCACTTTTCGGTAGCTGATTTTAGAGATGGCAACGAAAGCTATTGTTCTGTTTTGGGATCTTAACATTTATAACTCCACTCTGACTTACTATAATGGGATGTATACTGGGTGAAAGGGTTTCGTTTTGAAATGAATATTTAATGATTCAAGTGTATGGTTGTTTGAGAAGGAATAACTTGTTGCTGTAGAGATGTTAGTTAATACGATGGTCAAGCACTGGTAAATAATTGAGATTTAAATTTGATTAAGGGTGTTAATTTATTAAAGGTTTTTCCCTTTGTCTAGGTTTGAATAGATTATTTTCTGAGGATAATTCATCAAGAGGTGTGGTTTTGTCTATTCTGAAAATCATTATTTTTTTTCTAGAGGATTTCATTTTTGTATGGTTGTCTGTTAATATGCTGATTTTCTAAAATGAAGTTTATATTTGGAAGCATTGAGCTTAATTTTTAGATATTCTGATTGTGTTTTACATTGGAGTTCTGGGAATGGTTGCCGAGTTTAATCATCGTCATGCAATAATTCACAAAATTATTTGTATGAAATTGATAATGGTTATATTTTTAATTAATACCTTTGTCTTTATAATTTGTAAACAGAAAGCTTGGGAAGTGGCACAAGCGCCTTTCAAGAATTTGATGATGATGGGATTCATGATGTGGATGGCTGGGAATACGGTGCATTTGTTTAGCATTGGTATCACCTTCTCAGCTCTCTGGCAGCCCATAAGCGCCCTTCAAGGGGTTGGGAAGGGTAAGCCAACTAGAGATTCCTATTCATTGTTGCTCTGTTGTAAATAAGGGGATGGTGTTTAGTGGAGGATAGCTCACACAATGTCTCATGAACTCATTTTATATCAGGATGGTGCTTCTGCTCTACCTCTTGAAAACAGTAAATTTACCAACTTAAATATACATATGTGTAGTTATTTGGGAGCAAATAAATCATACTTTCTGCATTTGGAAGAAACTATGAGATTCACTTTGATGCAGGTAAAGTGCCTCTATAGATCCACAAACCGATTCCTGCACTTCATTCTCTCTCCATTTTCTCCCTGGGGATTTCTATTCATTTGCTTTGCCCAAGAGCCTTCTGAAACTACCAACCTTTCCTTTTTTTTCTAACTCTATCTTGCAAAGAGTATATCGAGGAGTAATTATAACAAAATTGACTAACGATTGGATTTTTCTGTTATCTTAAATGAGAATGAGAATTAGGAATCACGAGCATCCCCATGGATCATCGTCCTCTTCTTTATTTGTGCTTTCTTTCTTTAGTCCTGCATGCTGGGTGAATAAAATCTGCACTTAATTGATAATTACTAATTTTGTTGGATCCCTAACTTCTGTGAGTCTAATTATCTTTGTGTTGTTTTTCTTAGTAATATAAGGCCTTTTATGCCTTAGGCAACGCCTTTGTCTCTTACTTACCTTTCTAATTACAACCACCATCAATGTCTGTCTTGCTCTTACACTGTTTTAGGTTTATTAAGAGTTCTCATGATTATTGACATTTGGATCTACCGTGGTTATGAAGTTCTTTCAACTAAAGTTTTAAATCATTATCTTGTGTTTTGTCTTGCAGTTTTTGAGCCATATAAAGACAGTAGAGTAGAGCTTCTTGGGCCTAAGTTGCTCTTTATTGCACTTAATTTGGGGGGTTTAGCACTGGGCGTTTGGAAGGTGAAATTCTTTTTCCTTGGCTTTCATAGATAAAATTGTTCCTTTTGCTAAGAAAGGTAAAACAGAAATTGGAGTATTTCATCTCATCGTTTTCTGTATCTTTGGTGTTTGCAGCTTAACACGTTGGGGCTTCTTCCAACACATGCATCAGACTGGGTCTCATCCTTGCCTCCAGCTCAGGTTTGTTTTGTCTTCCTGAGAAGTTCTACTTGGTGTGAAGCATTTTATCTTATAGAAAAGGAATTTATCTAACATGTTATCTTCTTTTCTATAGTGTTGAATTTATCTGCAATTATTTGTGATCATGGTAATTATCCTTGTAGGTTAAGTGGTTAATGGATATAACATTAGTAGTGGGCATTGAATTGTGTACTGCTATTGTTATTTTACAAACAGTGATGATGCAGAAAGACAGAAAACCCCAATTATGGTGCTATTGGTGTTTTCCCTACATGCTTTCCATGTAATAAATCTTTATGGTAAAAAAGAATTGAAGATAGACAGACTGGTTGAGTTATTACTAAAATAGAATGAGCATTTGTAGTTCCACTCAAACTAGATCCCCTAATTTGGACAGGGCTGAATGGTCAAAAAGGGAAAAAAAAGAGACGGGTCTGCCAATATTATAAAGTTTATTGACCTGAAGGCAACTGATTTGTGATTATTTCAGAAAGTGTGCACTTTGTATTTGATCTATGGGAGTTAGAATTTTTATATAGTTCATGTGGTGAATCTCATCCGCAAAAATTATGCCTATAAATATAAATGAGATGCACGCCAACATGTTTTGCATTGTTTGCAAACTCATTAGTAACAGAACTGCTTCTGTTTTAAGTATCATATTCATGTCTAGGAATTGATCGCCTGCCATAGCAACCTTCACTAACTGAACTATTTCCTTGTTTAACTTTCAGGAGGTTGAATATTCAGGTGGTGGCATTCCCCTGCATTAATGTAGTTCCTTTTGCAGTTGGCCATCAATCTAATGAATGGTTGAGGTGAAAAAACTTCGGTTGAGGACTTGCTATTGTTGGCTGATTACCAGTTATGTGTGGATGTGGCCACCATGGATGATTTACTCCCCCCGATTGTTTATGTAGGATGACATCAGCGGCAGGCTCCAATTTGTTTCATAGATAGTAGACTATTAATGAGATCCACAGTTCTTCCCCCCGCTCCAATTTGTTTCATAGATAGTAGACTATTAATTGAGATCCACCAGCTTCTTTCCCCCCCCCCCCCCCCCCCCCCCCCCCCCAAAGTCCTTTTCTTGAAACTAGCTGATGAACCACCATATTTGAAAAAGTCCTTTCTTGAACAGCTGATGAACACCATATTTGATATTCCAGTCATTTTGTCAGGGTTTCTTCCAAAAAGTCAGTTTGAAGTTGTACTTGTGTTAAACCATTGAAAAATTTGTGATTATCATGGAAATTGAATGGTGATGTTCTGATCCTGTAGTTATGTACTATTGAATTGTATTATTTTTGCAAGGAAACAGGAGTTGGTTTTCGTAGGTACATTAAGAGAAACCATTTGAATCCTCCTGTGGTGGAACATTATAGTTGTGCATAAAAATGAGAGGCCAGATTTTGAGGATTTAAAAAACATAATTTTGAAGTTCTAAAGCTGGTTTGTTTCCATAAAATAATTTGTAGAAAAATATTTTTCATAATTTTTCGTTGTTTGGAGCGTTTAAAAAAATAAATTAACAAAAAATATTTTTTTGGTTAAAGAAAAATTAAGTCGTTTTGTTAAGGAAAATAATTTTTCATTTTTTAAAGTGTAAAACATTTTTTTATATTGTTAAACTTTATAAATTCATATTTTTTTTAATTTATTAATCATTATAGTTTATTAATTATCATAGTTACTACTTTACCACCGGCTATTGGTAACCACCACCACTAATTATTGACGGTTTTCATAATTTATATTTTTTTTATATTTTTTATATTTAATAATAAAATTTTGAAATTATAAAATTTTTTAATAGTTTTTATGGTCTTATGAGATAAAAAATTTTAATATTTTTTTTAATATTTTTAATTAATTTTTAATATTACTACCAAACAACACAAAATAAAAATATTAAAAATTAATTAAATTATTTTTATAAAATAATTTATTGCAAAATAATTTACTGTAAAATATTTTTTAATTTTTTAAAAAATTATTTTTAAATAATTTATTTTACATTATTTTTCAGTAAATTATTTTTCAATAAATTATTTTATAAAAATAAAAGAGCTCGGATATCAAAACAAACCTAATAATTTGCAGATTTGACCGGTGGTTGAGCAAACTACAACCGATACGTCCAATGGGCAGTTGGACTCCCCTAAAACCTAAAATTATTACTTTTAAATAATTTAAAATTAATATTTAACCATTAAAAATTGTAAAACTGTTATTACACCATTCATATCCGAGAACTGCTACTCTACTATTATTATTATTATAATTATAATTATAATATTTACTGATTTTTTTATGTATATTTTTATGCAATATAAATGGAATTTGCGGACAGAAAATGCACGGAGTGGCTCTCATATCCATTAGCTGATTTAGCTCTCTGTATCATCTCTAAAAACTTAAAAAACAGATCAAACCCTAGATGGAGTTCACTGCAGAACAACTGGCCCAATACAACGGCACAGACCCATCAAAGCCAATTTATATAGCAGTGAAGGGACGCGTCTTTGATGTGACCGCCGGCAACTCCTTCTACGGACCAGGTGGCTCATACGCCATGTTCGCTGGTAAAGACGCTAGTAGAGCTCTGGCGAAGATGAGCAAGAACGATGAAGACATCTCTCCTTCTTTGGACGGCCTAACCGAGAAGGAAATTGGTGTCCTTAATGACTGGGAGAAGAAATTCGAAGTTAAGTATCCCATTGTTGGCCGTGTCGTCTCTTGAATTTTCTTATGTTTCTATCTATCTGTTGTATTTGTGTTAATCTCGAAGATCAATTACCCGTTGTGAGTATCAATTTACATCATATTGTTGTCTCTGTTGGTAATATGGATGGGGATTGTTCCTCTGTCTTTGTAATCTCCGATTGAATAAATCTGGGTTATTGTGAAGTTAGAAGCTTTTCAATTCTCCATTTTTCTTTGTGAAATGACCTTATGTTAATATTAATAAGGCATATTCTCCTGTTGAAATGTTCTGGATAAATTACCATGTTGTTTGGCTGTTTGTTTCTTGGTTTCTGATTTTTTTTTTCCTTCTATCTTTCACCCAAATTCTCAATCAAATCAAATTTGGAACCATGGAGAAACAGAGGACGCAGCAACAAGTATCTTTTTTTAAGGTTTCTTCCTCATCTACATGATTTAGGGTTTTATAAGAGCAATGCTAAATGCTAAATGGCACAGTGAAACAGAAATGTCCATAATATCCTTAATATGTTTAATTATTTTTTAATAGAGAGAAGTGAGAAAGATTTTTCTCCTGTCAAATTAAATTGCTGCCATTGCCACCGGGCTACCCCAGCCACTCTGTGGGGTGGCAGGAAAAATCTAACAAATCTAGAAATTTGTCATTATATATTAAAATGACGAGAATTTCATGAGAGCCTGCTATTCATTTTTATGAATTTTATCGATTTTACAAACTCAAATTTCAATTCACACGATTTGGTCCTTCGCCAAATCTTTAAGTAAACACAAAATCAAGTTTATTTTATTAATAATTATAGACCCAAGATTAACTCAACAAGAATTGTAAATCCAATTGTTAGGAGCGTGATTAATAGCAGCGTATCGCCCTTAGTGTCACCATCAATCTAGGAGGAGCTCACCTAAATTGCTAGCAGAAGAGAGAGAGCGACGTCACAGTGGCGATTGGAGGCTAAGATTGTTGTTGAGCGGCGATCGAAGGCTGAGATCGCAGCTTGCCTCTATTGCGTCCATCAGAAACAAAAACAGAGGGAGGGGAGGAGAGAAACCAGTGGCGTGATGACGAGCAGAGGATGAGTTTGTTTAGCTCAGGTGGTTGGAAATAAGAGAGAAAGAGAGATAGAAGGGTTGAGCGCCAGTGGATCAGGAAGAAGAGGAGGAGAAGAAGAAATATTATAGTTTGATTAGACTAATAAACAAATGCAAGAATTTTTTTTTTTCTTTTTCCTTCTTCTCCTCTTCTTCTCTCTCTCTTCCTCTCTTGTTTTCGACCACCTGAGCTAAACGAACCCATCCTCTACTCGTCATCACGCCACCAGTCTCTCTCCTTCTCTCCCTCTGTTTTTGTTTCTAGTGGACGCAACAGCGGCAAGCTGCAATCTCAGCCTTCAGTCGCCACCGCTCGACGTCGTTCTCTCTCTTCTGCTCACGATTCAAGCGAGCTGCGATCCCTTCCTTCTAGACTGACACTGATGCTAACAACGGTACTAAGCTCCTGTTGAGCTCGCTCCTAACAGTTGGATTTACAATTCTTGTTGAGTTAATCTTAAGTTCATAATTATCTATAAAATAAACTTAATTTTGTGTTCACTTAAAAGGATTTGGTAAATGACTGTATGAATTGAAATTTGAGTTTGAGAATTTTGATGAAATCCATAAAATTCATTAAAATTAATAGCACAATTGAGATCCTCATGAAATTCTGATTGTTTTGATGTATAATAGGCAAGTTTATTAATTGATTCAAATTTTCGGCCACCACGATATGGTGGCAGGCTACGGTCCTCACAAAATCTGATTGGTTGAAATTTTAATGATGATATGACCAACACCAAACCATCACATCACTAATAGTAAGTCATCATATCATCAAGACAATTGCTTAAATTTCTCAAAAGTCATTATTTTTATGTCACCGTAATGAATTGTGGTTGTGAAAGGCCGAACTTGGGCCAAAAGTATTTATCTTTATAAGAAACAGTATAAATTTAATCTTTTTATTTATTTTGAGTATTGAGCGAAGAACATCGATATTATCATGTCATTTATGCACTAATTAACCTTCCTTTCATTTCAGCAACCTACACATGCGATGACAAAAGTTGTCAAAAAAAAAAAATTTACATAAACATTAATAGGGTAGAGCTAAGATTGTGTGAACATATAATTTAGGAAAATGTAATATTGTAATCGTCTTAACCTTTTAATTAAGAAAATCTTGCATCTCATAGTTTTGATATAGGTGAAAAATTAGATTTGCTAGATTAGTATAGGGAAAAAAACACGACACATGGTAGAGTGTCATATGTTTCACATGTTTGTGGAACACACTGAAGCCCATTAACAGCCCGTTAATTAAAAAGGCCTATCAATCGTTTTTCTAACATACAATCCTAAGAAAACTTCTGACATTGTCCATTCCTTTCTTAACCTTTGGGCTAACAGCAGCTAAGATTAGATGAGATGACCCTCACAATTGCTACTGCTTTTCTACAAAACCCTAACCATCCATTGGCGCAGCCATGGAAAATTGGTGATATCTGACACTATCATCCAAAATCATGATTAAAATATTTAAAAGAATTAACGGTCCTGATTTGTGGGGAAGAACAACTCTTGATTGATGGGTTTGTGTAGAAACCAAGAGAAGAGACAACTAGACAGTCGGTCTTTTCGTCCAAAAGGCACCTTCTTCTCCTCTTCCTCCTCTCTCATAGTAAGACATAGCCAAATAGTGCCTATTTCCATCTTCCCTCTTTCACATATCAACTAATTGTAGTCTTTAACCCATTTATTTTTTACCAAATCCTATCTAAGATCCTTCACTTAATTTCTCTTCTTAGTTTCGCTAAAAGACGAATCTTTGTTTTCCATAAAAACTTGATTACTAGTTTTTGTTAATTTTCCCATTTTGTTCTAATAATTCATTTTTTCCCTTTTTCAGTCACTAGTTAATACCTCTCTTTCGATCCCCAATCAATATGGCCACAAGAAATCCTTTGTGCACAAACCCAAAACCTTGTAAGCATCTTGCCGATTACAAGCTGAGGCATGGCTTAAGTGGCTATCAATCTCTTCAAAATTACCTTAAAGCTACTCCAAATGGAAGAACCAGCATTTATACGTGTGAGACAAAGATACCTAACTGCAGTGTTTGTAATGGGTATCAAGGTAGATTCTTTCTATGTTTGGTTTGCTCGTCGATCTCATGCTCAAGACACACCCTTTTGCATACCCAATCAGAGAATGGTCATGATATAGCTGTTGACATTGAAAGATCGGAGCTTTATTGTTGTTTGTGCAGTGATCAGGTTTATGATCCTGATTTTGATAAGGTTGTCGTGTCCAAAAGCATGATGGACATGTCAGATAATACTCAGACCTTTAACGATGGCATAAGGAGATCAAGGAAGAGGAGGAAATTGTATTCATTGGTGGATTTGGATTTAGAGAAATCTAGACAGTTGATTTCGATGAGGGATCGGAGGGAAAAATCCTGTTATCCTCTGGGATTAAGAGGATTAAACAATTTGGGCAGCACTTGCTTCTTGAACTCTGTGTTGCAAGCATTACTTCATGCACCTCCTTTCAGAAATTACTTCTTGAGTGATCGGCATGATCGTGAAGCTTGTAGGAAAAGATCATCAGATCAGTCATGTTTGGCTTGCAATATTGATGTTATTTTCTCAGCTTTGTATTCTGGGGATCGGACTCCGTACAGCCCAGCGCAGTTTCTTTACAGGTCTGCTATTGATATGCATCCTTTAGTTTCGGTGTAATTGATATGATGATTTTGTGGATTGATTCATTACAAAAGATTTATGTCTGCTTTAGGCCTTCTGAGGGTATGTAATTTGTCCTTGTTTTTTTTTAAAAAAAAAATCTTTAAAAGCTCTAATTCAAATCATATTATTTGGTTATTAGATTCAACATTGCTCTTCCTAAGAAATGAAGATTGGAGATGTGTTTCATAACACTATCAGTTAATGTTCAGCAGAAAGTATGGAGTCTGCTGCTTTTTAAGGATTTTCAGATGGAATTTCCCATCTTTTGTGTGCTAGTGCACTGAAAATTGTCATTATCTAGTTTTGGGATTGGTTGGTGGTATTGATGATTGTAATAGTAAGTCCTATGGAATAATGGACTTCTTTTTTGCGATTGGTATACTAGTTTCAGTATGGTGCTAGGTATCTTCATAGTTCAGTTCTACCATTTTATATTCTGATCAGATGTTTGGAGATGAACTTGTGCTTTAGTAATGCAATTTTGTTTCTATATGAAGTTGGTGGCAGCATTCAGCAAATTTAGCTAGTTACGAGCAGCAGGATGCTCATGAATTCTTCATTTCATTGTTAGATGCAATCCATGAGAGGGAAGTAAATGGAAGAACCCTGAGTAAAGGTAATCATGTAGGTGCTGAGATACAGTGTTCTTTTGACTCGGTGATCATGATTTATTTCAATTTTATGGGATTCTTAAAAAAATAATAAAAAATTATGGCTTTTCATAGCATTGTTACTTCCAGATTATGTAAAATAATTCTCAAAAGCAAATTTCAAACACTTTGTTAGCATATCCGGTTTTGACATTCTCCATAGAGTAGTGAATTTTACATAATGAAGAATCTTGACTTCTTTTGAAAATGTGGTTGATAATGGACTTGGGGGATTTTTCTGCATTTCTAGGCAAATCTGTTCTTACAATAAATTTATACTGTTGTGCAGATAATGGAGATTGTCAGTGTATTGCTCATAGGGTTTTCTCGGGGACGTTGAGATCAGATGTCACTTGCATGACCTGTGGGTTTACTTCAACAACTTACGACCCTTGTCTTGACATTTCACTTGACATGGACTCAAGTATACTGTCTTCCACTGATGTAGCTAACAAGTCTGTTGGGTTGAATGAGAACTCAGGCAGATGTACTCTTTCGTCCTGTTTGGATTTGTTTACAAGGCCTGAGAAGTTGGGGTCGGACCAGAAATTTTATTGCCAAAATTGTCAAGAAAAACAGGACTCATATAAGCAAATGTCAATTCAAAGGCTCCCACTGGTGTTATCTTTACATGTCAAACGGTTTGAGCATTCAACAGTTAGAAAAATGTCAAGAAAAATAGATTGGCATCTGCAATTTCCATTCTTCTTAGACATGACTTCATATATGTCATCCTCAATTGTCAGAAAGAGGTTTGGGAATAGAATTTTTTCTTTCGAGAATGATGAAGCAGATATCTCTGCAGAATTTGAGATTTTTGCTGTTATCACCCATTCAGGAATGCTAGAATCGGGGCACTATGTGACTTATCTTCGTTTAAGAAACCAGTGGTACAAATGTGATGATGCGTGGATTACCGAGGTTGATGAAACAATAGTAAGGGCTTCTCAGTGTTATATGATATTCTATGTACAGAAAATGTTTTACTGCAAAGCAAACGAGGATTTGAGTTGCATACCAATGCCCCCAAGAAGAGATCCATTTCTTCCTATTGCCGGTTGTTGCTAAAGTGGGGTTCTTGGACTATGATTGTTGTTGGTAATTGGCAGAATCAGAAAGGACTGATAATTTCCTCCAAGGCCATTTACATCCCAATTGAGATGAAAGAAACAGAAGTTTTCATGGATGGATCGTGCTTTCAGAGAAAATTGCTCATCAAATAGGAAATCATATTTTACTTCTGGATGAGGGTTGCACTAGGCCAAGAAGAAATCTCATTTGACTGCTACAACCAAGGTTGAGCCATGGAAGAAACAATTGCCAAGAACCAAGTTGTGGGTTCATGAAGACTATCCATCTAAAAAACCCATAAGTTGCTGGTTTAAGTTGCACCTACCTAACATGATATTTCAATGGTTAGACTGTATGATTATAAGTTCTGAGAAATATTGCCAGAAAGTGGAGATTTCTCTACATGTTTCTGTTCTTTGCATGACTTTTTCTTGGTAATTCTTTGACTGCAGGTCAGTCATGTACTTGATTATATATTTGTTCATTTAAAATTAATGGAGAATCATATACCCTATTTAGCGCCTGAAATTTGTGGGCAATGATGAATTGTACATGTCCTTTTTGGTTAATTGTCTTCCAAAAATGACACATTACTCTCTCATTATAACCACCAACCCCATGCTAGCTGGTTAACTAACCATTTTTCAACAATAAACAGCCACTCTAAATGCCACGTGTATCCATCTCTGCGAGGAATATTGAACAAGACAACGGTGTGGTCTTTTTCTTTTTAATAAATACAAGTAAATGGATTTCAAATGTATGCTTTCTGGATCCATACACTCACTTTATATTATAGCCAAATGAGTTTTCTGATCAAAAATAAAAATCAAATCATCTTAAAAGAAATGATTTTCTTTTTCTGAAAGGAGGAAAATATTTTTTAAATATTAACGGATTTTTTATAACTTTATAACTACATTTATAAATTTATTAATTATTGTTAATCACTATTTTTAATTACCGCAGTTGCCATTAGTCACCAAATATTATTATCCGTATGAAAAGTTGATGATTCTTATAATTTATTATTTTTATACATTTTTATATTTAACATATTTTTAAATTATAAAATTTCAATAATTCTAAAATCTAAAAATAAACACTAAAAAAAAAAAAGTTGAATTAATCCCTTATGAAAAGCACAAGTGGAACAAAAGCAATAAATAACTCTAGCAGTAGCACATGGATAAAACTTGAATAGGTTATATTAATATATAGAAACTCAAGGCTGTCATCAACACTAATAACCCAATCTTTAACATTAAATTAATGATTTAATGATCAAACATATGTAAAAAGTTTTCTAAATCCTAATAATTGTATCCTTCCAAAAATTTATTATGTAATAAAGAAAAACTATGTCAGCCTAACTGACCGACTTTCACGAAAACTTGCATGACCGTTTGTGTTAGTATCTTTGCTCTTCGCTTGTCATTACATTACATTAGATACACTTGATCGGAAAAGACACCCTCGTCGGACAAGCCCACGGCTAGGTGCGTCTAGATCCAAAGTAACTTGTCCCTACTTGCGTGGAGCCAATCAGATTTATCCACGTTTCAAAGTTCATTGAAGCGGATGCTCCTGAATACTTGCAATTGATTCTATACGTTAAGTCACAGTTTAGTATTTTAATTGACCAATAATGTAAGATTTTGGGTCAAACAATGTTATCCAGCCAATGGATTCATGGTGGGTCAAAGTTCTCTTTCGAAATTCATATACTTTGATAAGATTTACCGTATAGGAGCATAGATCTTTTTCCTTTTGTACAGTTAAAACCCTACCAAAATCTACATCTTGTAATAAAACATAGTCCCGGTTCTTTTTTGGCAAGGTTGTTCAACTCTGGTGTTGAAAACAACAGGAGAGGTCCTTAAACCTTCTCTGACCTTGGAACCACTTTCTTTGTATTTGATCTACATTTGAAAAATCTGTTTCTCGTGTGAAATGAATCCTTAAGAAGTGACAGAGTGATTTTATAACATTTTAATACTTCTTGATTTTAGCTAATTTTGATTTTTAAAAGAAGCCCAGATCAGAGAAGGCATGTTTGGTGTAGTGGGTTGGTTTTCTGCCTTCCATATAAGCCAAATTTCGATTGTTGCTGAGATTTTGGCAAACTGTGTTCAAGTTTGGAAATTTTAGTTTTTTTGGGGGAATTTCAGTCGATTTTGAGGTGCATAATTAACGAAACTTTGATTTTTGTGAAGTGTGTTGTTGTTTCTTGCTAATTGATTCGTCTTAAATTGTAAGTTATGGTGGAGGCTGAGAATCTGGAATCCTGTGGTGAGGTTGTGGAGGAAGATGAACAGAAAAGAGGAGGGTCCTGTAACTTTTTCTGTACTCCGATTTATTGGTTCAAAATGCTAGGCAACGAGACACACTGGAGTTTTGTGTTCGGAGTGTTGGCTGTATACGGCATAAGCCAGGGACTGGGTGGAGCTTTTAATCGTGTTGCCACTGAATATTACATGAAAGATGTTCAAAAGGTGCAACCTTCTGAGTCACAAATCTATCAAGGAATCATTTCTATTCCTTGGCTTGTCAAGCCTCTCTGGGGCCTGCTCACCGACGTTCTTCCTGTTTCGGGGTATCGTAGGCGGCCATACTTTATTTTAGCAGGTAAATTATGCCTCTGTTTCTGCTAGGTTGCTTGCCCCTTCTCAATTTAGTATGGCACGATCTCATTAATTTGGTGGTATTGATTACCTTGTTTTATTTGAGCTGCTAATTAATGCATTAAAACTTTATCATTACTAACTTTTGACTATATTTCTCTTTCCAACTTAAATTTGGTAATTAAGTATGTGATATCTCATTTAAATTATCATGCTAGTAGCAAATTATCATGGTAATTTCAAGCATTTTTCATCGGAGTTGTGTGAAATGATCTTATAGGGATGATTCGCTTTCTCATAATACATTTTTGGAGAATCCTTTTTGGCCCCTAATACATAGGAATTGTTTTCTACTCATATTTAAGGAAAAACACCATATGTTGCATCCTCTGCGAATAGCAAACTCGTTGTCTGCTTCTCGTTTCCTATAATGCAGAACAAATTATGTTCATATGTTCTCGTAATAAATAACAAGAAAGTTACTTTTTCTCTTCATATAATGGGGACAGTCTTTGGCCATTGTTGATTTCAGGATTGCTTGGTGTGATCTCAATGCTTTTGGTATCGTTGCACGGGAAGCTACATCTTGTATTTGCTCTGTTGGCATTAACAACTGGAAGCTGTGGTGTAGCAATAGCAGATGTGACCATAGATGCCTGTGTGGCACAGAATAGTAATACTCACCCTTTACTTGCACCTGACATGCAAAGCTTATGTGCTTTGAGTTCATCAATTGGAGCACTTGTGGGGTTTTCTATCAGCGGTATTTTTGTCCACTTGATTGGCCCCAAGGTTGCTGCTTTTTTTAGTTTTCATTATTAAATCCTCCTTTTTAAAGATAGGTACTTTATGTGTTGAAACATATTTTTCTTTTTTTCTGGTAGGGCATATTTGGTTTGCTGACAATCCCAGCCGGACTAGTGTTTTGCGTTGGCATTGTGCTTAATGAGCCCCTCATGCCCCACTTCAATTACAGACAGGTATTCTTTGTCATCCTTTAGTCCACTCTGTTACTTCTACACTTGTATTCTAACATTCTTTCTGTACTCAGGTAAACCAGAAGTTTGCTGGTGCTGGTAAGGCTATGTGGACGACATTGAAATCTCCAGATGTTTGGAGACCATGTTTATATATGTACTTATCCTTTGCATTGAGTGTGAATATCGATGAAGGGTTGTTCTACTGGTATACAGATTCAAAAGAGGGTCCATCTTTCTCCCAGGTATACGATTCTGCACTTCTTTCCTCCAATTTTCTGAAAAAATGAGCATATTATCATAATACCTAATGCCAAGAACTCCATTATGGAACTGACTTTGAGTTCAAAAACGAAGAATATTTAGTGAAAGAGTTATAAGCAATTAGTGAAAGTAAATTTAGCTGGGGTGGAAGCATAAATTTGTCAGTAGATTAATTCTGCTAGATCAAAAGCATTTTCCTATGTTGTCTGAAATGCTGACAAAATTCACAATCTGCAAATGCCTTGCGCAGGAGACAATTGGTTTCATATTTTCAGTTGCTTCAGCTGGATCACTTTTAGGGGCTATACTATACCAAAATATTCTGAAGGATCACCCATTCAGAGACCTGCTTTTCTGGAGTCAATTGCTATTTGGTTTGTCAGGAATGCTAGATTTGGTAATGGTACTGCGGCTAAACTTGAAACTTCACATACCAGATTATGTCTTCATTGTGATTGATGAAAGTGTCTCCCGAATGATTGGAAACCTCAAATGGATGCCTCTTCTGGTACTAAGTTCAAAGCTTTGTCCTCCTGGTATTGAAGGCACTTTCTTTGCTCTGCTCATGTCCATTGATAATGCTGGACTACTTTCATCTTCATGGGGAGGAGGCCTTCTACTCCATTTACTGGATGTAACTCGGACGAAATTCGATAATCTATGGCTAGCCATTATAATCCGTAGCATATTGAGAGTTAGTCCACTCTGTCTGATATTTATGATTCCAAAAGGTGATCCCAATGCTTCCTTGCTTCCAAGTGAAATTCTAGGTAGAGAAGATGAAGAGAGAACTGAAACTACAGAGAATGAAAATATCGAATTGGTCTCCCTAATAAGCAGTGTTGATGGTAAATAGCTTTAGCTTTAACAAAATTGCTCTTCTTCTTACTGAACTTGCATACATCATTGTTCACACGATACAACTGAGTTTAATGAAAGTAGAAAAACAATGTTTTTTTTTATTGTATCTTTCCATAGAATTATTTGATCTTTAGTCATACGTTAAATCATTCGAAATTTCCTGAGGCCACAAGAATATTTTTTTTTTACCCTCTTTTTTTTTTAATTTTCTAATAAAATATATGTAATTTATCTAAATTAATCTACAAATTTTAATTTATTTATGCCTTTGAATCCTTTTTTTTTAAATTATATATTAATGCTGGATAACAATATTTTTGGATCTGCTATGGCCCGAGGGCATTATACCTTTAAAAAAAAAAAATGTATCATAATATCTCTGGAGAAAATAATAAATAAATATAATCATGAGTCGCATTAACCAGATTTTCTTCAGTATTGGTAAGGTTGAGGTGGGCCAGATGGGCTAGCTTTCTTCAGATTGTCCAACATATAAGATGGGCCGAACATGATTTTTTTGGGCTTTAATATAAGGAGCCCTAGAAGTACACAAACAGAAAAATGGCGTTTTGCCTCTGTAACCAAACAGGAAGGACGGCTTAGTTCCTTATTCCGGATTAGGGTTAAACTCTTCGCCTGTCACCATTTTCTGTTTCTTAGGCGCCAAAATCTTGCAATCAAAATCGACTAAACTAACAATAACAGGTAAAAGCCTCTTTAACCTTTCTCACCTACGATATAACTTTCTCTCTCTTTCTCTTTCCTTCTCTGAAACTGGAAGGTTAGTTTTGTTCCTCTATTTCATGCTATGGAATCTCAGTGTAGTAATTGGGTCTTTGTAGTGCTATGATAATGAGAGAAAAGCTGTAATCTTGAAAATTCTGATTCATTATTTTGGAACCAATCTCAGTTTACTGAATAAGTGACTGTGAAGTCAGTTCTGTTTTTTTATTTTTTAAATTCTCTGCTTCAAATTTGTTTCTGGGATTTTATATGCAATTTATCAGGGAAGAAATGAGCAACCAAATCCCAACAAGCAATGATCGTTCCAGGACATATTGGACACCAACAATGGAGCGTTATTTTATTGATCTTATGTTAGAACATATGCATAGAGGGAACAGGATTGGCCATACCTTCAACAAGCAGGCATGGACTGACATGCTTACAGTGTTCAATGCAAAATTTGGATCGCAATATGACAAAGATGTCTTGAAAAGTCGTTACACTAATTTGTGGAAGCAATTTAATGATGTAAAGAATCTTCTTAGTCAGAGTGGGTTTTCTTGGGATGAATCGAGAGAGATGATAGTAGCTGATGATTATGTTTGGGATGCTTACCTAAAGGTGCGTTATTTTTTCTGTTCAATGGTATAAATAGAATTATCGATATCATAATTCCATAATAACACAAGATTCATGCAGGTGCACCCAGATGCACGACCCTACCGCACTAAAACAGTGTTGAATTTTAATGATTTGTGCTTCATATATGGGTACACTACTGCAGATGGAAGATACAGCAGATCAAGTCATGATATAGACTTTGATGATGAAATCCAAGCTGCAAACATGGGTGTGTATTTCTTGTTTTCTGCTCTTCATAAGCCTTGATGCAGATTGATTTTCTTGTTGTATGACAAACTTATTAATGTTAATTTCTATAGGCTGCTTTTATTTTGTTCCTTTAATGCCTTTTGTACTTGTTAGTGGGTTAATAGGAAGCATCCTCTTGCAGAATGGCTTTCCACGGAATCTTTAAAATGGCAAATCATCCCAACATCACTTCTTAATCCTTAGGCCCAATTTCTAGTGTTCAGCCATCAGCTACCATTCTTATGGCCTAGCTAGGTGATCTGCTATCATAAGATAGGTTGAGCACTAATTAAATTTTGATTGCAGCTTTTGACCTTTTTATAATCATGACCCATGGTAATTAAGCATGAAAGTAAGGTGCCAAAAGGTCTGCATTTTTTTTTTTTTTTTAATAATGGCTTGCTTTTCAGGAAAAACTTGGTTGGTCAAACAAATGAACTACCAACTACATCCAATAATCAGAAATACAAAACTCCGTCTAAGTGTTTTCTGTATATTTAGGTGATGCAATGGGAAGCAGTGCTCCATCACACAACGAACGTCCAAGGACAGAATGGACTGCAAGTATGGACCAGTATTTTGTTGAGCTGTTGCTGGACCAAATAATAAAAGGCAATAAAACTGAAAATACATTTAATAAACAAGCTTGGACAGACATGCTTTCTTCTTTCAATGCAAAGTTTGGTCCTCAACATGGAAAAAGAGTTTTACGACACAGATACAAGAAATTGTTGAAGTATTGTAGTGAAATGAAGGTCATACTTAAACAAAATGGTTTTTCCTGGGATGAACCACAACAAATGATTGTAGGTGATAATGATGTTTGGGATGCATATATTAAGGTACAAGGCTACAAAATTTTAATTCTCTTGAAATATTTCCCTTCTGTTTTCTTTGTTTTTCTTTAAATAACATTACCCACTTGCTGTGTAGGTACATCCACAAGCACGGGCATACAGAATGAAGACTTTGCCAAATTACAATGATTTGGTCCTTATATTTGGGGATGCAACTGAAGATGGAGTTGACACTAATTTACATCAAGCAAAGGACCATGAGGTTGACATTTCTGGAATAAAAACTGGTGAATTGCAACTCTACTTTTATCAGGATTAATTTGTTTCTGAATGCTTTTGCATGGATTTATTCAGTAATAAAGATCTAAATATGTACTGTTGCCCATGAGGGGAAACTAAAGCTCACAGCAGGATAAAAGAAAGCCTCAACAACTGGTTTTATGCCTCCTTTTGTGCCCTATGCTGTCCTAGTGATCAGTTCTTTTTACATCTTGAAAGTTAACCACCCAGTTGAGGATTTCTCAAGGCCTCATGGCATGGACGCGTTCCTCTCATTTCTTCTGTGATGTAAACATGCTTAAGAAGTTATAAACTTGGTACTATTATGGATTCATATCAAATATCATGGATGTAATTGGTCACATGATTCATGTTTGGGACTCCAGAGATTATTTGATGAATGAACATTGTCCTTAAATACGGGCTGTCTTTGCTTGCAGGAGAAGGAAAGGGGAGCCAAACTCTTGCCAGTAGTGATCGTACAAGAACATATTGGACACCTCCAATGGATCGTTATCTTATCGATTTGTTATTGGACCAGGTGCATAGAGGAAATAAGCTGGGCCAGACATTCATAAGCCAGGCTTGGATTGACATGGTTGCATCATTTAATGTCAAATTCCAATCTCTCCATGACAAAGATGTATTGAAAAACCGGTACAAACATTTGAGGAGGATGTACAATGATATCAAAAGTCTTCTTGAAAATAATGGATTTTCATGGGATGAAACAAGAGAGATGATAACAGCTGAAGATCATGTTTGGGATGCTTATACCAAGGTAAATTGCATTCTTTTCCTTATTTAATAAAGGTTTTTTTTTTTTTTTTTTTTTTTGGGATGAAACAAGAGAGATGATAATCAGCTGAAGAACATGTTTGGAGATCTTAACAAAGGTAAATGCATTCCTTTTCCTTATTTAATATTTTTTTTTTTTTTTTTTTTTCTCATTTGATGTGGATACAGGCACACCCTGATGCTCGATTGTACAGAGTTAAAACTGTACCAAGCTATCAGAAATTGTGTGTTATATTTGGACAAGAAAATTTTGATGGAAGATATGGCCGTTTGGCTCAAATTATGGACCGTAATGATGAAACACCTGATGTAGTGATTGGTAAATATCTCCTATTCTTCTATTTATTTGATTGTATATTACATAGTACATGGGCCAAAATTTGTAACTCGGATCCTGAATTAGGTACATCATCTGAATTCTATTGCCTCTTAAATTGAGTTGATAAGGCCTTTCTGGAAATCTACAGGATGGAATTATCAATTGAAATGGAAGCATTTCGTAAAATGCAGAAGCCATTTCCTGTGTTTAAAACAGTATGATATGATCCATGGGGAAGCATTAATCTCATATGCTTTGAAAATTAAAAGATAGCATTCATACTATTCAAATCTCTTTTCCTTATTTATTCTTTCCTGACAGACAATTGATTTGTATCCATATTTTGTCTAACTTTCAGATGAGTCTAGTGTGAATCCTTTGACAATAGATTGGGGAACAGACAGTGATCGTTATTTTATTGAGCTTATGTTAGAGCAGGTGCATAGAGGTAATAAGATTAACCACTCATTTAATGAGCAAGCATGGACACACATGATTGAATCATTTAGTGAAAAATTTGGAGTTCTATGTGATAGATATATTTTAGAAACTCAGTATTTAAAGTTGTTGAAAGAGTGTGACAGCATTACCAGTCTTCTCAGTCATAGTGGTTTTGCATGGGATGCAATTCAACAGATGATAACTGCTGATGATGCAGCCTGGGAAGCTTATATTCAGGTGTGTTCCTCATTCTTCTTGAACATATCCCGAACTATATCAGACCGATTGCTTCTCCAAGAAAGCAATTGCTATATGAATCTCTACCAAGAGGTTCTATTTATAAATGAGTTCACTGTTCATGTTGTTACTGTCAATCATAAATTGTCCCATGGAATTTTGCAGGAAAAGCCAGATGCCATTTTGTACAGAAATAAAGTCTTGGAGAATTATATTGATCTATGTAGAATTCAAAGAAATGAAGTGTCGAATATTGGAGAACAAGGTCAACAACTGCAAACTGACAATGATGCCGTGCTGGTGGATGGATTACTTGTAGATGGACACTTTCCAGCTGAGGACATTGAAATATCTAATCAACAGAGAAAGCGGGCTTCTACAACACCATCAGACCATGAAAATGCCAACAAGGTACAGAAAACTGGCAAAGATATGCAAAGAGCTCTTCCTGAAGTGGCAGATGCATTTACAAAACTGGTAAGTAAGAAAGAGAGCAAGAACAATGGAACAATTGAAAATGCAATTGATGCTCTTCAAGCTATACCAGACATTGATGAAGAACTTTTGTTGGATGGTTGTGATCTTCTAGAAGATGATAAAAAGGCAAAGACATTTTTGGCACTGGATGCCTCACTCCGAAAGAAGTGGTTGCTGAGAAAACTTCGTCCGTAGGAGTTTTTCATGTTATTTTCACTCCTAGGATTTTTGAAGACAAAAAAGCACTGAGCTTTACAAATTGTCTAATTCTCAAGTTAAATTTGTAAGTGTAGATCAGATTTCATTTGAGCAAGATGAGAAAGATACATATTTCCTCTGCGAGCACGTTGCAATGACTGATTTCCCCTGTGAATAGAATGGAAAATTTAGCAGCCTTTGTTTAGAACAATGAATTCTTATTTTGTTGCAATGACTGATTTCCCCTGTGAATAGAATGGAAAATTTAGCAGCCTTTGTTTAGAACAATGAATTCTTATTTTCAGGATTCCGGTGTCTTATATTTTTTCTTTGAAAATTAATGTTAATGACGTCGTCAGAGTGTATGGTCCAAATATGAAGCCGCAAAAGTAATGTCCGTTTACAAAGGAAATATTTCCATTGTCCGACAAAAAATATTCCATTGTCAATGACCGAAGCACATATAACTGGGCTTTTTGTTTTGTTATAGAAAGGTGAACTCACGAAACTAAATATAAAAATGTTCAATTTAATGTCTCTAATGGCGTCTTTCTGAACTTGAAGACACGATGAGCTTGTTAAAGGAAGAAACAAGCTTTGAAGATGCAGGTTGGTCTTCTGGCTATAAGAATTTCGCATTTGTGAGAGGAGATGCCAACAAAATTCTTGACATTCCTTAGTCATAGAAATTAGCAAGTGAGAAATTTAACAAATAGAAGCCAAAAAGGAAAGATTAATTGCATTTGGAGGAAAAATTTATACATGCCATGGCACAATTACTTTGCTTTTGCTGAAACACAACCCAGACGTTCGGAATTAGTAACGGCAAAATCAAATTACAACGTTTACTCTCTTAGGTTCTCACCTGGAAGGTGCAAAGGTACCCCTTTCACATCATTTATGGAAAGATTTTCCATAGCGTACAGTCGGAGGTCGATTAATAAGTCATCTAAGACATCCCAGACTAATACATGGACAAGAAATTCTGCTTTGTTGGTTCCTTGAATTGACAAACTCATTTTACCCGTCTCCTCCCAGCTCTATCTCTTTCTCTACCTTTATCCCTGTCGTGATTATCCCGCTCTCTACTTCCACTCTTTTCACGGCGATCCCTCTCCCACTTTTCACTTTCCAAATCATGAGCTTTATCTCTATCCCTGTGCCTTCCCGGTCCCTATCTGAATCATTTTCCCTCTCCCTGTCCTTGGTTGATGTTTTCCGTTGTGGGCTCCTTTCTTGAAGATTCACGGCTATCATCCCTTCTATCCCTCCTTTCTGATGATTTTCTCTTTGCAGTGCCGCGAAGGAGATAAATTTACACAACTAAATATAAAAGCATTGCAAAACCATAATCAGCGTTACACATAAATATAAGTAACAAGAAACTATCATACTTCAATTGCCTCCATGAAGGTAGCCCTTTTGCCTCTTTTGGGAACTAATTTCACTGAATTAATTTGATAAAAGAAGAAGCCATTTTCCCTTGTCATTAATTAAATAAAAATAATAAAACTGATTTTTATTAATTATTTTCCAAAATATTAACCAAATCCATAAATTTACTTCTATTATTTTTAAGGAAAAAAATTATGATTTGTACAAAATTTAATGTTTTTAACTTTTATATATAATGCATTAATTAATTACATGGTTAATATAGTTTTTTATATTTTTTAATTACTTAATAAGTGCTTAATCAAATAAATTTTATTAATTAAAATATTTAATAAGTATAATTTTATAATTTTAACATTTTTAATAGATTAGAATAAAAATTGAGAGTTTTTTATAAAAATTTTTGTGAAAAATATAAGTTTGGATTTACATTGCGCAAAAGAAATTATCAAAACACAAAGGAAAATTTTAACTCAACCAAATGCAATTCAATTAGTCATATCCCCAATGCGAGGAATGAAAAATTTTGAATTTGAGTCATCTCGGCTACAAAAGTTTTCTCTGATTAGTCAAACACATTATTTCAACTCCAAAGGCTTCTTAATGAATAAAAAATTGGAAAATTCTAAAGTGATTTCTTAGGTAAATGAATTGAGGGAAACAATTATGTGGACTTTAAGGATGCTAAATGGTTACAGTAAACACGGGCCGGTTATCCAGAAATTCATCCCATAAAATTATGGGCCGGTTGTAGCCCATAGTAAACCATAGAAAAGATTTACTACATTCTACCAAAGTAAATTATGTAAAATTGTGTTGGCAGTACAAACAAGATGGTAACGACATTTGAACCGTATAGCGGGCATTGCCAAAAGGATGCATTGCCAAGTGTAACTAAAACATGTTTTAAGTAACAGGAACCCAAGTTTATATGCAACATTACAATATATTTCCCAAATCAAGCCTTGTTAAGAATATTGTTCGCCAATAGATAAATTGACTAAACAAACAACAATAGCTTCTCATCAGTAAATTGACCTAAACAACACAATAGCTTCTCATCATAATTTAAGTAGAAGTACTGTGTTACGAACTGATTAAAGCACAGGATCCAGAAGGAAAGAGGATACAATATCAGAGTTAAAACAACATTGAGTATCAAGGACCAAACCCCAGATACAATCCAAAATCTGAACTTTATATCTAATCCCCTTCCAGGTGGAGTTTAATGTCTACATAAAAAACCTTGACAGGAATTACCAATATCGGCACGTGTTCTCATCTAGTGACGCCAATTTTCTTCAGGTGTTGAAATGTTCCGCGTTTTATTCCACTGCCTATCAAGGCAGATATTTGCCCTAATTGAAGTGCATTAACCTGCAAACCAAAAATACACAGGCAACATCCAGCTACTATCCACTGTCTATCATATGGCAGATATGCCCTAATTGAGTGGTCATAACTGCAAACCAAAAATACACAGCAAAACATCAGCTACTCCAACAATGCGTTACCACATGCATGCACACAACTATGCTGATAAAGGAATATAACTACAATGTCATGAAAAGTAAAAACTGGTAAATAATTGCATAAACAGTCACCAAAATAGCATGGAAAGGTATTTCTATTTAACTTTAGCAATTTTGGGTGGACATTTCATGGTGACACTTTGAAATCTCATTGCATTTTTTATTATGACAATTCGAAGAAACATACTTTCCTTTAACCCTTTTCAGAGTTCACAAATGTACAATCAGGTTTCAATATATTTTTCCTCTTTAAAATTAACAAATCCAAGTGGTAACATGATGTTAACAGATGTTTAGAGGTGTTCAATTGTTAGATGTAAAGTGTTCTGCAGTGCGTAAAAAGAGAGAGGGGGTGGGGGGGAAGAGGCATACACTAAAGCACTCATGTCTGCAAGGCCATCGATAAAATTGTAGAGATCTGCAATGTCATAAGTGATATTTCTGCTGGCTGGATTTAGTTCCTTAAGCTTTCTTTCATAGAGCCCACATATGCCTATAAATTCCAAAAGGTAATGGATGAGTAAGAATGAAGATACTATGAATTCAAGTACTTCAAGAATAATTTGTTCAAACAAATTCATTCATCAAAAATCAAATTCCAGTGCTACAAAAATAGTGAAAGAGGCTAGATTGATCTTATTAAAACGAAATAGTTTCTACGCATGGATACTCTCCAAGTAACCATCATGATTCATCAAATATTACTTGCAGATTATTTTATTATGCTTCTTACTTTAATTTTGTGACAATCAGTGAAAAGCTAACAGTTAACCCACTGAACAGAAAACAATAATACAATAAAAGAGTATAAAGAAAACAGCAAATAATGAGAACAAGAACCAATGAATTTGATCTAGGTTGTGTCAGAATCACCCTCTCTGTCCCTCAACATAGCATAGACTGTATTAAAATTATACAATGTTTGAGAAGGGAAGGACCGGATCTAGAAGAAGATAATATACAGAACATGCTGAAAATAGATCTCTCAATCCTTTTCCAGAGTAAGGGAGCTCCAGACAAAATAAAGCACAGAAGACAAGTTATATACTCATAAGGCAGACCATGAATTCATAATCCATTAGAGCAATTAACTTGCTTTTCTGCCCATCATTTGAATCACGGATTTTGACAGAAAAAACAACCGCAACAACAACAGCAATAATAATAATAAATCATTAATTATGACTAGTATCACTCATACAAGATCATATGGAACTGAAAGGAACTTGACAGCTCTCAAAGACCAGTGACAACATTACTAATTCATGGAAAAAATGAATAATGACACTGATGATAAAACAAAATTAGCATGTAAAACATACCATCCATAGCTTGACTTATTGAATCATAATCCATAAAAGTTCTGGTAGCTTTATTTTGTGAAGTCTGCATCAGAATTATGGTATGCCTATTAGCCTACATGGGAAATAGAAAACAGCCAGTTAGAATCCTAGCAGGATAATACGTGTATTCCTTTACAAACATAAAAGGCCTGATGGGCACAATTCAAACGAGTGCACTTCTGAAATAGCATTCGTCAAGGTAATTTGGCAATATCTAGCTCCTTTAAACAAATCGAAGATAAGTAAGAAATGGGCACACTGGGTGATGGAAAAAGCAAATTGTTTTCTCTTTTCTTTTTCTTCTTTGTTTCCCTTTGGAAATAAGAAGCCCATTCTCTTCACATGGCTGCTTCTTACTGGCATGGCATCTACAAATTCATGTATTCACATCTTCAATGTCCAATACTCTATAAAACATGCAAATATTCCAAAACCATAGGTTCGCCTCAATTGCAAATTTAACAAACTTCGAAGGAATACACTGATTGCAAAAGCAGAACACCGACTGCTTAACTCGATTCGCTCTTTATGTTAAGTTTAGAATGCATCGAAAATGCTCTAATCAAACAAAATACAACAAAACTTCACACATAAATCCATCTATGCTTTTACAGAAACTGAAAACATAATTCACTCAATAAGATTCTACATCACACAGCACGCGAACAGCGGAAATTAGGAAATGCTAACTTCACCGGGACAAATAGAAATTGCAATCTTAACGAACGTTAGAAATTAGAAATGTAACTGTTTTTCAAAATCCATTTGGAAGTTAATAGAACTACAAAACCGATAACGAAAAGAGAAGAACTTCGAATTACCATAGCAAAAGGGTTAATTTGATGGCTTCAATAACAAGCGCGACAATAGATTCTTCGTTTGCTTGAGTTCTATGCGCAGAAAGAAATGGCTTCAATAACAAGCGCGACAATAGATTCTTCGTTT